GATGCTGTCTTGTTTCCGGGCCTCTAAAAACAACATGATGCTCTCCAGGGTCACTAATGACACTTTCTGTCATTCTAAACTAGTTCAGATGGGTTGAGGCTTATGGGAAGTGTATTTCAGTCTTTTGTTGTTGTTTTTGTTTAAATATTATTTGTGCTGGCACGGTTGTGCCAGGAGATTTGAATTTCTTTTTCTTGCACTGTTAGTTTGCATGAATCCATTTGGGCCATGCATTTTGCAATTGGGTAGCTTTCCCCAGGTTGCAGTCATAGGGCCCACAACCTATCAATCATCGAGCCAGTTTTGGAGGGAAAATGGGACTTTTAGTTGAGTCTCACAGTTTGGAGCCTTACAGCAGGATGTGTGGGCTTTCTCTGTCCCACCTGCAAAAAGCTTCACTTCTTAAAGTTTTTGCTGGAGAAAAAGGAAAACACCTACAGCTTTGCTGGGAAGTAAAGTTACATTTCCACAGCTTTGCTGGGGGAATACAGCCAGCTTTGCTGGAAAATAAAGGAATGGTTCCATGGCCTTCGTGGGGCAAATCTACAGGACACCAGCTTGGCAGATCTACAGCAACCATTGCCTGGTAAGAGACCACTCGGGCTATCCATAACGCAGCTTGGAGCCGGGAGTTGGGTCCTCACGCCAGCAGGGTAAAGAAAGATTGCCCAAAGAGGGGTCGGAAGGTTTCCCTAAAGAAGATAGGAACAGTTTATCAAGCAGTTTCCTGTCCCTTGTTGGCAGATCGAGAAAGCTACCAGTTTTTCAAGATTATATAACATTTAATTCATTTGTTCAAAGATTTAAGCCTTAATAAAGAACTTTGTTGAGCCTATTTTGAACCTCTACAGAACTTTGTGTTGGGAAACCTATGGGACCCTTTAGCTGAGGCACCCCGGCATCCCGTTGGGCATACAGAAAGCACGTCCTGTAAACAGACATTGTCATAGGCCCAGCGCGTGACAGCACATTATTTAACATAAATTTTAGACAACAACAAGCGACAATCAGTCTGTACAGAAACAGAGAGAGTCACAAGTATACATGTTTGCACAACTAACAGAAGATGAAAGGTTAGAGTAGAATACACTGAAATACGGAATGCTACACCTATAACACTAAGTTACATAAACAGAAGTGAAACATTACTTCCAATTAGTATGCTACTCTTCTCTTTTTAAAAAACAAAACAGTTTAAATCTGACTTTGAATACTGTATTATTTTTTACATATACCCCAATTCTCCATATTTTTCCATCTTTTTGGAATATATGCATGCAAATAATGATAGTTTTACATAGGGTGAATCCAGTGCTACTGCCTTTAGTACAACAGTTGTAGGATTATTTTCTCCTGATTAGTCTTCCTTAATGGCTCAATTATAAAATGATAAGCCAACACATAAGTGAGTCTCAGCAATTCAATGGGTACGTGATTGCATCTCTGCATATGAACCCACACGATCCCTTCGATCTTCCGGAGAGGCCCTGCTCTCGATCCCACCAGCATCGCAGGCGCGTTTGGTGGGGACGAGGGAGAGGGCCTTTTTGGTGGTGGCCCCTCGACTCTGGAACTCACTCCCTAAAGATATCAGACAGGCTCCAACTCTGGCAGTCTTCAGGAGGAGCTTGAAGACGTGGCTCTTCCAGTGTGCCTTCCCGGAATAATGATCCCATAGCACTTTGTCCTCTAAAGCACTTTACATTTCCCTGAGTCTGCTTGTATGCCCTCCACAAACATCAGTATCATGGCCCAGCATTATTTCCAATTTTAACTCTACATTTGGCCTTCCCACTGTTATAATTTATGTGTTGCTTTTATGTATTTTGTGATAATGTTGTGTATTTTATTGTCTATGTTTCTAATTGCTTGTATTGATGTGTTATTGCTTCTATTGTTGTGTTTGGGCTCGGCCTCATGTAAGCCGCACCGAGTCCCTTGGGGAGATGGTAGCGGGGTACAAATCAAGTTAATAAATAAATAAATAAATATTCTAGTTAGGTTTAGCACCAGAATTGAGGCCAGTGTTTGCAAATTGTCAGTTTGTTTACCTTATACTGTAGCATCATTGCTGTTTGACCACCTACTACAATGCAACCTGAGCCCTGCCACATACACAATGGAGGACCTCCTTATAGCAATACCAGAGGCTCTCCAAGTGACCAGCTATTGGTCAAAGGGCATTTAATATAATGCCAAGTTCATAGAATCATAGAGTTGGAAGACACCTCATGGACCGTCCAGTCAAATCCCCTGCCAAGAAGCAGGAAAGTTGCATTCAAAGCACCCTCGACAGATGGCCACCCAGCCTCTGATTAAAAGCCTCCAAGTTTTTAAACTTTGTGTTTGTTTAATACATTACAGCTGTACCTTTGGTTTGCTTCTGATACGATAAATAAATCAATAATTGCTGTTTGATTATCTTTATGCATTCAGTATTGAACAAAAACACATGATAATCTGCACAACCTTCGTATTTGCTATCAACTTATAGAATTATAAACCGCTTTGAGTGCCCCCAGGGGTGAGAAAGGCAGTATATAAATATGGTAAATAATAATAATAATAATAATAATAAACTTGGCTTAGTCTAAGTGTAGCATAGTGTTGTTTATTTATTTATCGTATCATAAGAGAATTGAGCGTAAAGTTGTAATGTATTTAAAAACACAAACCAAGTTAACAATTCAGCATTATGCCAAATGTTCTTTGACCAGAAGCTGGACACTTGGAGTGCCTCTGGTGTGGCTGTGAGAAGGTCCTCCATTGTGCATGTGGCAGGGCTCAGGTTGCAAGGTCTGTGGTTTGTTGTTTGGTCTTAATAATAATAATAATAATCAGCTTTATTTATACTCCGCCACCATCTCCCCGATGGGGACTCGGAGCGGCTTACATGAGGCCAAGCCCAAACAACAAATTACAACAGAGTGAAACCGAAAACACAAACAATAAACAACAACATCATAATTACATAAAACATGTGAATACATAACAATATAAAATTACAATAAGCACAATTACATAAAACATGTGAATACATAACAATACAAAATTACAATAAGCACAAGTCTTCTCCGCACTCGCATATTGTGAGCTCCACTTTGCGGCCCCGTTTCTTAAGGTTGGCTCTGCATCTCATGGTGCCAAAGCACATTCTGTTCAGTGCCTTCCAAATCGCCCAGTCTTCTGTGTGCCCACTGGGGAGTCTCTCATTTGGTATCAGCCATGCCTTGAGGTTCTGGGTTTTAGCCTGCCACTTTTGGATTCTTGCTTGCTTAGGTGTTCCTGTGAGTATCTCTGTAGATCTTAGAAAACTATTTCTTGATTTAAGGAATTGGCGTGCTGGCTGATAGCTGAACAGAGGATGGGCCAGAAATGTGAATGCCTTGGTTCTTTCATTATTGGCTGCTACTTCCCAGCGGACGTCAGGTGGTGCAATACCAGCTAAATAGTATAATTTCTCCAGTGGTGTGGGGCGTAGACATCCTGTGATCATGCGGCATGTCTCATTAAGAGCCACATCCACTATTTTAGCATGGTGAGATGTGTTCCACACTGGGCAAGCATTCAGCAGCAAAGTAGCGAAGTGTCAGGGCAAATGTGTTCACTGTGTCTGATTGTGATCCTCAGGTTGTGCCAGTCAGCTTTCTTATGAGACTATTTCTAGCACCCACTTTTTGCTTGATAGTCAAGCAGTGCTTCTTTTAAGTCAGAGCACGGTCCAGAGTGACTCCCAGGTATTTGGGTGCGCTGCAATGCTCCAGTGGGATTCTTTCCAGGGAATCCTCAGAGCTCGAGATGCTTGTCTGTTCTTAAGGTGAAAAGCACATGTATGCATTTTAGATGGGATTCAGAACCAGCTGGTTTCCCCTGTAATAGGCAGTAAGAGCATCTAAAGCAGGGGTGCTCAAACGATGGCCCGGGGGCCGCATACTGCCCTCCAAAGTTATTTACCCGGCCCTCACTCAAGAGTCAACCTAAGTCTGAAACGACTTGAAAGCACACAACAACAACAATCCTATCTCATCAGCCGGAGCCACCAGTGGCGCAGTGGGTTAAACCCCTGTGCCGACAGGACTGAAGACTGACAGGTCGCAGGTTCGAATCCGGGGAGAGGTGGATGAGCTCCCTCTATCAGCTCCAGCTCCTCAGAAGCCTCCCACAAGGATGATAAAACATCAAATCATCCGGGCGTCCCCTGGGCAACGTCCTTGCAGACAGCCAATTCTCTCACACCAGGAGCGTTTTGCAGTTTCTCAGTTCGCTCCTGACATGACAAAAAAAAAAAAATCTCATTAGCCAAAAGCAGGTCCACACTTCCCATTGAAATACTAGTAAGTTTATATTTGTTTTAATTATTGTATTGTTTTAAAGGGTTTTTTGCACTCCAAATAAGATATAATTTTTCAAATTATAATCCAGCCCTCCAACAGTTTGAGGGACTGTGACCTGGCCCTCTGTTTAAAAAGTTTGAGGACCCCTGATCTAAAGCTTCAGAGAGCTTCTGTTCAGCCATTTCAAATCCCCCTGCTTGAGCGGTGATGGCATTGTTTTAATAACATTAAGACAATTTAAAAAGACACACATGCAAATAAAAAGCAATGAAAATAATGCATTTTCGAACATTGACATGTAATTTAACTGCAGTATTTGTGCAGTGAATGAAAATCAAGCAAGATGGTGACGCAACAGCAAATCTATATCATTTATGTGTTTACTTTCATTAGATAGGGTTGGGTATGCTCTGGAACCCAAACGGCCAATTTATTCAGCTCCACTGAAAGAATGTAAGGTGTCAGTATTTGCAGTGACCAAAGGTGATCTTGTGTGACTCCCTAACAACAAACCAGCATTGTAAGCACTCTGAAGATGTTCATAGTGTGTGTGTGTATAAGCAACAAAATGCGGAGAACGGGTGGGGGGATCCAAACATCTGCACCATTCCCAAACTCTCCATTATATCATCAGCTGAAAGTTTTGGTTGTTTCCTCTCTTTGTAGTACCTTCTGAAAGCAAATGAAAGCCAAATGAAGCAAGGTCCAGATTTTCTGCAGAGCCTTATCAAGTTTTATCATGCACAACACAAGTAAGTTGGCAATCCAGGTTGGTATTGGGTTGCTGTGAGTTTTCCAGGCTGTATGGCCATGTTCCAGAAGCATTCTTTCCTGATGTTTTGCCTGCATCTATGGCAGGTATCCTCAGAGGTTGTGAGGTCTGTTGGAAGCTAGGAAAATGGGGTTTATATGTCCATGGAAGGTCCAGGGTGGGAAAAAGAGCTCTTGTCTGTTCGAGATAGGTGTGAATCTTTCAGTTGGCCATCTCTATTAGCATTTAATGGCCTAGCAGTCTCAAGGTCTGGCTTCTTACGGCCTGGTGGAATCCTTTGTTGGGAGGTGATTAGCTGGCCCTGATTGTTTCTTGTTTGGAATTCCCCTGTTTTTGAGTGTTGTTCATTATTTACTGTCCTGATTTTGGAGGGCTTTTTTAAATACTGGTAGCCAGATTTTGTTCATTTTCATGGTTTCCTCCTTTCTGTTGAAATTGTCCACATGATTCCTGTGGATTTCAATGGCTTCTCTGTGTAGTCTGACATGACGGCTGTCAGAGTGGTCCAGCATTTAACTTCACAGTGTTATTTTCTCTCCTTGTCTTGTTGCTTCTAAATACTTCTTTGGTGATTAAAAACAAACTCCACAATTTTCAGTTTTTTCCAAGATGGCTGGAAGGCATCTCAGAACCTATACCCTTTCATCGAGAAGCTAGCCACGTCTTTACATGCCGTAAGTCATTTATGGGTCTTTTTTGTTCACTTATTCCCAAATATTATTAACTGTGTTTCTAACTCTTGAAAACTGTTGGTATCGAAAACAGAAGGATGTATTGATTGCAATGTGCCTTCAAGTCAATTTTGATCGTTCTTTGCCCGTGAAAGTCAGTTCACACGATCCTCCTTATTGGGGAAGCTGATTTCAAAGCTCACTTCTTAAGTTTACGTTCCTCTTGATGGAAATGTTTTGTTTCACCTCAGAACGTGCATAATGCTATGTAGCACAATTTGAAAAAAATCATTCCTGGTTTGAAAGTGTTACATAGCAAAACAGGTTAATCATCAGCTATAGCTGCAGTAGATCAAAAGGTTGACAATTTGAAGCTGGGTCAGGGTGAGCTCCTGACCTTCGGCCCAGCTCCCTAACCACCTAGTGGTTCGAAAACAGCAATATAAGTAGGTGAATAGGAACCGCATTAAGCAGGGAGGTGTTTTAGGCATGGTGTTTGGGTAAAAGTTTACAAACAAAGTCTTCAGCAAGGAGATGGAGCGACAGTGCCCCCCCCCCCCCAGGTCTGGAACTGAGCACAGCCTCCAAAAGATGCCGAATGATGAGAAAAAGCATAGACATATCTCTATCTGTTGTCTATCTTGTCATGCTGTAATCAGCATTGAATGTTTGCTGTATATATGTTCTGTGATCTGCCCTGAATCCCCTTCAGAGTGAGAAGGACGGAATATAAGTACTGTAAATAAAATAAATAATAAATAAGGGTTGTTGCTGGGCTTAGCACAGCAGGTTAAACTGCCAAGCCGCAGAAAATCTTGCTGATTGAAAGGTTGGCAGTTCAATCCTGGGTCGGGGTGAGCTCCCGCCATCAGCCCTAGCTTCCTGCTCACCTAACAGATTGAAAACAGCAATGCCAGTAGATAAATAGGTACCACTTTAAGTGGGGAGGTAATAAAAGGCGCCCATAAGGACATTCTGGTGACTTCATCAAGAGGACGTCTATGGATGACAAAAGCTCCTCAGCATGGAAGATGGAATGACAGCACCCCCCATTGCCGGAGTTGAGCACAGCCTCCAGACACCGGAAATGGAAAAAGATGGGAAAACCTTTACTTCTGTTTATGTATTGTCTATCGTTGTTAATTGCATAATGGCATTGAATGTTTGCCATATATATGTTCTGTAATCCTCCCTGAGTCTCCTCAGGGAGATATAGCAGGATATAAATAAAGTATTTTATCATTATCATCATCATCCTTATTTCCTATTTAATTGCGCGGTACTTACTTTGAAAATAGTTGTTACAGTCCATAAACTTTGTTTTTGTGCCATAAACCATGCTGAATTGGTTGAGACTCGATGATGAGATATTTGTTGACAAACCAGAGCAAAATGCACTGAAGGTTTATTCCACAAAAACAAAGTTTTTGGCAGTGTAATAAACTTTCCCCATGTTCTTACGAGGGAACCAATTAGGAAATGACATGGATAACCCAGGAACAAAAACCCTGTTGCATTGTGTTATGAGTGGACATGCCTACTGCAGATGATGAGTCCAACATCTGAAGGAAAACGGTTGACAGAACCAATTAGGAAACGACATTGATAACCCAGGAACAAAAATCATCGTGTTCCATAGTGTTAATGGTGCAAGTTGAGTCACTGTTCTGTCCTCCAACTTTGTTTTCGTGGTTGCCACAAACTAGGTTGAATTAGTTCAGACTCAATGATGAGATATTCACTGAAAAACTGGAGCAAAATATGCAGTTTAATTAACTTTTTGGCAGTTTAATTAACTTTTCCCATGTTTTTGTGAGGGAATCAATTAGGAAATGACATTGATATCCCAGGAACAAAAACCATGGTGTTACATAGTGCTAATGATACAAGTTGAGTCAATGCAAGTCATAATGTTGTTTTGTCCTCCTCTGGGCCTTATACACAATTCCGATAATTGTACAGAATGCCCCTCAGAATGTCTTTGCTTCTCTGATGCTGTAACTCCCGACCATAGCCTGGACTGCTTTGTGTTTGTGTTGCCTCTGTGCTCTTCATGCCATCTTCTTCTCTTTCCAGCTCCGCCAGGCTAAGGAAGAAGAGGTCAAGCAGCTCACACAGATCCGCGATTCCCTCCGAGGCATTTTGCAGATGGAGAACAAGGGGGTGAGTGAGTGTTCACGGGACTTCCTCTGGAGTGGATGCAAGAAGTTGAACAGGCCTGGAGGGCCCAAGTTTGCCCATGCCTGTGATATATCCATATAGGTTTGCCATTAAACATTTGGATCCTGTCCCATATCCATTTGGTTGGGTGTGGAATGATCAGGTATTCTGTCCATACAATGGCACAATGCTTTTTATGCATCTTGTCAATTTAGGAGAATCTCAACAGGAAGAACTCTGGGAGTGGTTATAGTATCCATCAGCACCAAGGCAACAAGCAGTATGGGACCGAGAAGTCGGGCTTTCTGTACAAGAAAAGCGATGGGTAAGAGCCACTTGTAGGTAGTCTTTGTGCTACGTGTTCAGAAGAAATGTTGACCCTTTTATTAGAAAAGAGGAGTGATGATATCCATCAGTAAGTTCAAACTTCCCTGTTCCTCTCAACTTGGTCCTTGGAGGCATAGCTATGAGGACTGTATCTGTCCATGACTTTGCCTTGAAATTTACTTCTTCACCACTCTGGCCAAAGTAAGAGTGAATTCTTGCCAGGGAGGGTTCTTTCATGTTGCTATGAAGTCAGGCCCCCAGGCCCATAGCCAGGATTTGGGGGGGGGGGGGCTGATTTTTTCAGAGGGGGCTTCGGGGGGGGGGGCTGAGTTTTGGGGGGGGGGGCTGAGTCTGAGTGAAAGAGGGTCTAGCCTAGCAAACCTTTTGTATCATTACCCCAATACCCCCATGCATATGGGATATATTGAGTATGGTGATCAGATCATGATAATGAATAAACATAACAGTTTAAATAATGCACCAGTAAGGCCTTTTCGCGAACCACCATGAGAATTCGGGGGGGGGGGGGCTGAAGCCCCTCAACCCCCCCCCCCCCCCCCCCCGGCTACATGCCTGCAGGCCCCCAAATACCAAATTCAGTTGCAGAAATAATTTAGAGAGTCACATTTTAATGTATTGTTGAAGGCTTTCATGGCCGGAATCACTGGGTTGTTGTAGGTTTTTTCGGGCTATATGGCCATGTTCTAGAGGCATTCTCTCCTGACGTTTCAGAGGCAAATTGTTGGAGCCAAAATACGTAGCCATCTTATCTTTGGGGTTTTTGACAGTGAGATGATTGTTTTAATTGGTGACAACGGGTTGTTTTTTTTGTAGAATTCTAATTAGGGGAATTGAAAGTGCATATCCATCTTTTGCACGATGCAAAGATGTTTATTGTCGGTGATTTTTTAAAGATCAGGCATGAAGTACTTTATCACATTGGCTTGTCGTCTCGTTGCAATCATGTTGTTTCAGCTAACAGAAAGAAACATACCCTTGGCCATATAGCCCGGAAAACATGGCCATATAGCCCGGAAAAACCTACAACAACCCAACATACCCTTATTTGGTATGATACAATCCCTTTCATACCTTGCTGAAATTGCAGAATGCTGGCATTTTGTTGATACAAATTCCTGCCATCCGTCTCCTGTATAGCTTTTGTTTCCTATCTGTGTGATTTCATCATCCAGTGCATTGCACTATGCCAGTATTTCTCAATCTTCCTAATGCTGTGACCCCTTAATACAGTTTCTCATGTTGTGGAGATCCCCAACCATAAAATTATTTTCGTTGCTACTTCATAACTAATTTTGCTTCTGTTATGAATCGTAATGTACATATCTGATATGCAGGATGTATTTTCATTCACTGGACCAACTTTGGCAAAAATACTCAATACTCCCAAATTTGAATGCTGGTGGGGTTGATTTTGTCCTTTGGGAGTTGTAGTTGCTGGGATTTATAGTTCACCATAATCAAAGAGCATTCTCAACTCCACTTGTGATAGAACTGAACCAAACCTGGCACACAGAACTTCCATGACCAACAGAAAATCCTGGAAGGGTTTGGTGGGCATTGACCTTGTGTTTTAGAGTTGTATTCAGAGAGCACTGTGGACTCAAACAATGATGAATCTGGACCAAACTTGGCACAAGTATTCAATAAGCCCAAATGTGAACACTGGTGGAGCTTGTGGAAAATAGACCTTGACATTTGGCAGTTGTAGTTGCTGGGATTTATCGTTCACCTATGATCAAAGAGCATTCTGAATTCTACCAATGATAGAATTGGGCCAAACTTCCCACAAAGAACCCCCATGGCCAACAGAAAATATTGTGTTTTCTGATGGTCTTTGGTGACCACTCTGACACCCCTTGCAACCCTCCCAGAGGTCCAAACCCCCAGGTTGAGAAATGCTGCACTATGCTTTTCTTTTTTTTCTGTTTTTAATTATGAAATCAAATAATACAATTCACCATTCTGGACACAAGGTGGCAGGAAAGGTATAACAAATACATATACAATTTTTTTTGTTATGTCAGGAGTGACTTGAGAAACTGCAAGTCGCTTCTGGTGTGAGAGAAAGGGCCATCTGCAAGGACATTGCCCAGGGGACGCCTGAATGTTTTTGATGTGTTACCATTCTTGTGGGAGGCTTCTCTCATGTCCCTGCATGAGGAGCTGGAGCTGATAGAGGGAGCTCATCCACCCTCTCCCTGGATTCAAACCTGTCGGTCTTCAGTTCTGCCGGCACAGGTGTTTAACCCACTGCGCCACCGGGAGCTCCATTGTATGCATATACAATGACTCCACTATGGCTGAGAATTCCACTAATTTGAAGACCACTGTGAAGTTATTGCATGAATTACGATGGAGTGTTTACTGTGACCAATAGGTTTCTTTTTTCATTCTAATTATTACAAGGAAACTGTCACCTTTTATCATTAACAAATAATTATACTAAGATTCGTTGAAACACATTTACTTGAAAAAATATGTATGGATGGATACATTTTATATCAGGCTTTGCATTCATGTATGCTTTCCGGAATGTCTTCCAACCATCACAACGTTCATGTGATGGAGCCTTTCAACCCACCATATGAAAATGAACAATCACTGCAACAATTTGCAAATGTCTTCCTGTATTCCCAGCTATACTAAGTCTCTTTTTCAAAGCCAAATCCAATTTAATAATAATAATAATAATAATAATAATAATAATAATAATACTTTATTTATACCCCGCTACCATCTCCGAAGGGACTCGGTGCGGCTTACATGAGGCCGAGCCCACAATATATCAATACATGCAACAACAACCACAATACCAAGCAAAATACTAATACTCATACAAAGCAATTAAAAATAAAACTCATACATAAATAGCATAAACATTGAACAATAGCACAAAACACTTTTAAAATCTATGGCTGGACCAAATATAAACATTCCATATCCACTATGCATTTCTGCTTTTCTTTATTCCATCTCTTCTTGTCTGTGAAGTATTTCCTCTTTATTTATTTATTTATTTATTTTTCGGCAGTGTGTAAATGGCCATTGTATAGAATATTAGTTACTTGGGTCTTTGCTGCCATTTCTGATTCCTCTGTTTTTCCTCTCTCGTAGGATTAGGAAAGTATGGCAGAAGAGGAAGTGTGGTGTGAAGTATGGCTACCTCACCATCTCGCACAGCACAGTAAGTCGGACTTATAAAGTGGGAGTGACATTTATCCCCAAAGAACCCCTTCACATGTTCAATAAATGCATTATACGGTGGTGGGGAAGGGTCTTCTGGCCATGCCTTGGCTGTTAGGAATTGTGGGAGTTGAAGTCCAAAACACCTGGAGGGCCCAAGTTTGCCCATGCCTGAGATATACCCATATGTCAATTGACACACACATGTTATGATGATTCCTTAGGGTATGTCCAGCTGGTGTAGTGTGTGAATCGCATTTTATTCTTAGTTCTCCAATATGAATTAAATGTATGGGGAGATGATGATTTAGATACCCCTATGGTATTTTTTGACGTTTACTCCCCCCAACACCTTCCTGATGTTTTGCCCACATCTATGGCAGGCGTCCTCAGAGGTTGTGAGGTCTGTTGAAAACTGGGCAAGTGAGGTTTATATATCTGTGGAAGGATTTCCAGGCTGGGAGAAAGAACTCTTGTCTGCTTGAGGCAAGGGTGAATGCTGCAATTGGCCACATTGATTAGCATTGAATGGCCTTGCAGCTTCAAAGCCTGGGTGCTTCTTGCCTGTGGGAATCCTTTGTTGGGAGGTGATTAGCTGTCCCTGATTGTTCCTTGTCTGTGTTTCCCCTGTTTTCAGAGTAATGCTCTTTATTTATTGTCCTAATTTTGGAGTTTTTAAAATACTGGTAGCCACATTTTGTTCATTTTCATGGTTTCCTCCTTTCTGTTAAAATTGTCCACACGCTTGTGGATTTCAATGGCTTCTCTGTGTCTTTTTTTTAAAATAAATTTTATTTGCTATATATCAACATAAAAAAATTACAGGGAAAGTGGGAGAACATTGTGATATAGGAAAGTAGGAAAGTAGAGAATTAAGAAATTTCAAATTTAAAAACAAACACCAAAAGCAAACACCAAAAATACCTCTAAAAAGGAGGGGAAAGAGGGGAAAAATAAAAAGGAAAAAAGAAAAAACAAAAAGTTGTTGACTTCCAATCTGTGGCTTTGCTTAGTTAATATTGTCCTTATTACCTTGTCTTCGTCTTAAATTTTTTCAACGGATCGTTTAATTGGAGGTATTTAAACTTTCTTATTTCATCAATGAAAACACTTCTTAAATTCTCAATTTATCAATCTTCTTATTTTTCCAGAATCCATCAAAAAATTAACAATAAGTTCACTATTTCATTCACTTTTCGCTTATTAATTTTCGCCTTAAATATTCTTCCCTTCTTATCTGCTTATTTCCCTCCCCTCTGTGTGTGTGTGTGTTGTGGGGGGGGGGGGTATTTTATAGCTCTGTCACAGAATTAATTCTTTGGAAACTTACGTTCCTCTTCCTCCGTGAGTGGAGTCTTCTTTGTATTTAGGTTGGGCGGGGGGGGGGGGGGGGGGGGGGGGGGGGGGGGGACGGGACGGGGACGACAGTTTTTGCAGCGTATTGCTTGGCTGCTTCTTGCGGAGGGGTTTGCTACCCTTGCTCTGTCCGGGTCCACTTAACCCCCCTCCCTTGAGGAGTGAGAGGTTTTTTGGGACCTACGGAACCTGCAAACGGGTTTAGCACACCTCCGAATCTCAATCCGTCTGAAGGTTGGGAGCTATCGCTCTACCTAACTCCTCAATGCGATGCTCCCTCTGAGGAGCTCTCAGAGGGACCGTCCTGTCGCCATCTTTCCCCACCGGAAGTCCTCTGCTTCTCTGTGTCATCTGACATGGTGGTTGTGAGAGTGATCCAGCATTTCTGTGTTCTCAAATAAGATGCTGTGTCCAGCTTAGTTCAGCAGGTGCTCTGCTATGGTTGACTTAGTCTGCAGTGCCTTTCTGGTTGATTTAGTCCTGTTTGGGCATTGCTGCTGAATTTGGTGGTCCCTCTGTAGACTTGTCCACAGTTGCATGGCATAGGGTCGACTCCTGCAGAGGTGAGAGGATCCTTCTTGTCCTTTGCTGAATGGAGCGTTTGTTGAATTTTCTTGGTGGGTCTGTAGATAATCTGTAGGTTGTGTTTCTTCATTGGCTTCGCTATGCAGTCAGTGGTGCCCTTGATGTATGGTAAGAATACTTTTAGTCTGGGTGGATCTTTGTCTTTCCTCTCATAGCTTGTTTTCGGACTTGCAACTCTTCTGATGTTTGTGGTGGAGTCTCCAATGCCTGTAGAGCCTATCTTAGGTGGTTCAGTTCACCTCCCAACAAAGGATTCCCCCAGGCAGGAAGCAGCCAGTCTTTGAAGCTGCAAGGTTATTCAATGCTAATCAAAATGGCGAATTGCAACATTCACACTTGCCTTCAACAGACAAGAGTTCTTTCTTTCCCCACTCAGGACATCATTCCACATGTATATAAACTCCACTTGTCTGTGAGGATGCCTGCCATAGATAGGTAAAACATCAGGAGAGTATGTTTCTGGAACATGGCCAGACAGCCTGGAAAAGTCACAGCAGCAGATTTTTACAATGTTTGTGTTTTTAATTATTTTGTAACCACCTTCAGCCACGTGAAGAGGCAGGTAAGAAATTATTATTATTATTATTATTATTATTATTATTATTATTGTTATTATTATAATATTGGAAGCGAGCTTGCAAAATATAGAGGAGTCTTAGTTGATAGAGATGACTAGATGATGGACTAACCTCTCAAACCGTGCTTTTGCAGATAAACCGGCCTCCTGTAAAGTTAAATTTGCTGACCTGCCAAGTGAGACCCCATTCAGAGGATAAGAAGTCCTTTGACCTTGTGACACGTATGTAAAGAAATTCTTCATGCAATCTAAAACCAGCTTCTTGCAGTTGTATCACACTGTGTCATAGCTGTATTCACCATTTCTAGTCATGGGATACTATGGTTTTTAACTCAGAATATGTTTTGATGGAGTTTAACTGAACTTTTGAGTGCTGTTTGTGTTTAATTCTGTTTTAATGTTTGTATATTTGTATATTTTAGATTGGATACCAATACTTTTATGTCAAGACACTTTGATTCCCCTTTGGGGAGATAAAGCAGGGTACAAATAAATATAATAAATATAATAATAATAATAATAATCATCATCATCATCATCATCATCATCATTATTCACTGCATCCTTGCAGTGATGTTGACCAGCTATATCTGCTTAGAAAGTCTCGTGGCACACCAGAAGTTGAAGAAGAAAAACATGTCCTGGCAGGTTATGTAAAGGAAAGCAAAGAACCTGTTTTGATTGAAGTCAATAATCAGAAACTTCTCAAAGCACAGAAGACAAAGAATCAGTAAAAAAAAAAAACTGCACAACAAACCAGAGTTGACAGCTGGCACAACAAAACATTGCATGTGCAGTTTGGCTGGTTTTAATTTTATGTTTGGGGTCACCATAACACGAGGAAGCGGATTAAGGGGTCGTGGCATTAGGAAGGTTGAGAACCACTGCTCTAAGCCATTCTATCCTGACCAGTAGTAGACGAAGGGAGCTGGAGTCCAAAACCATTGGGAGAATTAAACCTTTCCCCAGTTCCATACTTTGATCTTTCCAAATTTCTTCTCCTTGCAGACAGCCGGACTTATCACTTCCAAGCAGAAGATGAACAAGAATGCGTTGTGTAAGTTCTAATGTTTACGTTAGGAAACCTCTCATTTGGCATTGGCTGTTGCTATTAATGAAGAGAACGATCAGTTGCCTCCTCTTCTGCAAAATGACCCTGTTCTTTTGACATTTGCCTTTAATCCCAAGTAGCATGGATATTAGATAGCATTGGGCAATAAACAGAAGTGAAGATTTCAAATTGGGAGGGATAGGCCACACTCCAGAAGACAGGAGCAGAATTCAAAACGGTCTTCACAGATTAGAGAGATGAATGGCCAAAACTGACACAATGAAGTTCAACAGTGACAAATGCGAGATACTCCACTTAGGCAGAAAAAAAGGAAATGCAAAGAGAGAGAATGGGGGATGATGCCTGGCTCGACAGCAGGATGTGTGGAAAAGATCTTGGAGTCCTCGTGGGAAGGAAGGGGAACATGAGCCAGGAATGTCATGCAGCAGCAAAAAAAGCCAATGGGGTTTTGGCCTGCATCAAGAGGAGCCTAGTGCCTAGATCCAGGGAAGTCATGCTACCCATGCTCTATTCTACCTTGGTCAGACCACTTTACCTGGAATCACACTGTTTCCAGTTCTAGGCACCACAATTGAAGGGAGATGTTGACTCTAAGCTGGAATGTGTCCAGAGGAGGGCGACTCAAAGAATCAAGGGTCTGGAGAACAAGCCCTATGAGGAGCGGCTTAAAGAGCTGGGCATGTTTAGCCTGTAGAAGGGAAGGCTGAGAGGAGACATAAGGAGGGCCAGGGATCAAGATGAGAGGGGAAATCATAGCAAGGAAGGAGCAAGCTTGTATTCTGCTGCCCTGGAGACTAGGACGCAATTGAACAATGGCTTCAAACTACAGGAAAGAAAAGAGATTCCACCCAAACAGAGGAAGAACTTCCTGACTGGGCGAGAGAGCTGTTCAGCAGTGGAACTCTCTGCCCAAGAGTGTTACGAGGAAGGCTCCTTCTCTGGAGGCTTTTAAGTAGGCCATCTGTCAGGGATGCTTTGAAGGTGATTTTCCAGCTTCTTAGCAGAATGGGGTTGGACTGGATGGCCCACCAGGTCTCCTCCAACTCTATGATTCTATGATTTTGCCCCCAAAGATCTTGTGGGTCAAGTAACTACAGCGAAGGCAACCAGAGAAATAATAATAATAATAATAACAATAATAATAATAAACTTTATTTATATACCATTCTATCTCCCCGAGGGGGACTCAGGGCAATTTCCAAGTAACATCACCGAAACATACAAAGTAAACAGCATAACATAAAATTCACAAAACAAGATAAGCATAAAATTAGCACAATAACACATGTATGTTAAAAATAATCCTGCCTATTCAGAGCAATTAAAAAGCCAGGCCAAGGCTAGTGCAAACTCAAAATATGAGGGGGCTGGGAATTAAGTACAGGGCTATAACAGGCTAACGGCACTAGCAGGTACGGGTCTGTGGCTGCTCATTTCCAGGGCCTATTAGAGGGATGCCCAGGGTTATAGGTAAGAGTGCAAGGCCATATTCAACAATGTTTGGGTTGGACTAGAACTGGTCATTCTCAAAGGCTTGCCGAAACCACCAGGTCTTGAAGCTCTTACGAAAGGAGGGGAGGGGTGGGGCCTGTCTTATTTCCCTTGGAAAGGCGTTCCAGAGGCGGGGGGCCACCACCGAGAAGGCCCTCTCTCTTGTCCCCACCAACCGTACTTGTGACGGTGGTGGGAGCGAAAGGAGGGCCACCCTGGAAGATCTTAGAGTTCGCACCGGTTTATAGAAAGGAATGCGATCGCAGAGATAGGCGGGGCCCGAACCGTTTAGGGCTTTATAGGTCATGACCTGCACCTTGAATTTGAAAGCCTTGATAAGGTTGTTTTGTTGTGTCTGGAAGGCTTCATCAGAAGCAAATGGTGATCGTCTATTAAATGGTTGATCATCTAGGAAAGCAGGACAAGGGTCTTAACATTTGGAGGTTGAACGATAAAAGCCAGGGTAACTTACTTACTTACTTAGGCGATCCCTCGTTTTCCGAGGAGGATTGTCTTCCAGTATTCTTGTGGGTCCGTATGTGGCTGTGGAGCTCTATTCTTGCTCTGCATCTTCTCCCACAGTGAGGGCATTGGTTTCCAGGTGGAAGGCGGTCCCGGTCGGGGTTGGCTTGACGCGCCTTCCTCTTGGCACGCTTCTCCCTTTCGCCCTCCATTCGTGCCTCTTCAAATTCTGCAGCACTGCTGGTCACAGCTGACCTCCAGCTGGAGCGCTCAAGGGTCAGGGCTTCCCAGTTCTCAGTGTCTATGTCAGAGTTTTTAAGGTTGGTTTTGAGCCCATCTTTAAATCTCTTTTCCTGCCCACCAATATTCCGTTTTCCATTCTTGAGTTCGGAGTAGAGCAACTGCTTTGGGAGACAGTGGTCGGGCATCCGGACAACGTGGCCGATCCAGCAGAGTTGATGTTGGAGGACCATCGCTTCAATGCTGGTGGTCTTTGCTTCTTCCAGCACGCTGACATTTGTCCGCCTGTCTTCCCAAGAGATTTGCAGGATTTTCCGGAGGCAGCGCTGATGGAATCGTTCCAGGAGTTGCATGTGACGTCTGTAGACTGTCCACGTCTCACAGGCATATATCAGGGTTGGGAGGACAATAGCTCTATAAACAAGCACCTTGGTGCTTGGTGTCCCGGTCCTCAATCCCTCTCTGCTTCATTCGGAAAAATGCTGCACTCGCAGAGCTCAGGCGGTGTTGTATTTCGGTGTCGATGTTGACTTTGGTGGAGAGGTGGCTGCCAAGGTAGCAGAAATGATCAACATTTTCTAATGTTACACCATTAAGCTGTATCACTGGCATTGGAGAGGGGTTGGTTGGTGTCTGCTGGAACAGCACCTTGGTTTTTTCAATGTTCAATGGCAGGCCGAGCTTCTTGTATGCTTCTGCAAAGGTGTTTAGAGTGGCTTGTAGATCTTCTTCTGAATGCACAGAAAGATAATGATGACAACAATGACAAAGGTGGTGGTTGTCATTTTGGGACACAGCTAAGGGAGTCTCTTTCCTGCATTTTTCATATTCCTATTAGGTGTTGTGGCTTCTGTGTGGGAGCTTTGACATTGTAGACTTTTCCCAGTCTCCTGAGAAAACCAGTTTTCATTCTCTCTGTTCATTGAGAGCAGGCTTTGAAGCACATAACCTATACTTCCTCTAAGCACCTGCTTGCAGACTTCACCAGTACATAGCATATACAGCTGGAATTGGATAACTAACTGATATTATTTCTTCCATTGGCCAGATGGGTGTCTGTGCTTCAGAACAGCAAGGATGAAGCTCTTAGCAATGCTTTCAAGGGGGATCCAGGAAGCTGCATGTCTACAGCTGCTGGTATGGCTGACAGTGGGCTGCAGGAATTAACCAAGCTGATCATCACTGAGGTGAAGAACATGCCAGGGAACAGGCACTGCTGTGACTGTGGAGCTCCAGGTACAACCATAGAATTTCCTCGAACCAACTCTAAGCTAGAAATTTCAATATAGCTTCTGAGATTATGTCTGTTTCCATGTGACCCTTCTTGAGATAAATGAAGGAAGGCTGCACTAAGGATATCCTGTCATTGCCATAGTATGTGATTTTGTGGTTTTACTTATTTCGTGTCCTAAGCATTGCATAAATAAATTAATATAAAACGGATTTTTTTTGTCATGTCAGGAGCGACTTGAGAAACTGCAAGTTGCTTCTGGTGTGAGAGAATTGGCCGTCTGCAAGGACATTGCCCAGGGGATGCCTGGATGATTTTATCCTTGTGGGAGGCTTCTCTCACATCCTCGCATGGGGAGCTGGAGCTGATAGAGGGAGCTCATCCGCCTCTCCCCGGATTTGAACCTGTGACCTTCAATCCTGCTGGCACAGGGGTTTAACCCACTGCGCCACCGGGGGCTCCATTATAAAACTGATAAAATAGAGGGAATGCATGTGGCTAAATAGTTTTAGACCATTGGTTCCCAACCTGTGGTCCATGGATCACCACTAGTCCGCAAAAACAAAAATATGGTCTGCGGCTTCACCATTACTACACCGTTGCCTCGAAACCTTATGGCAATGAGAGTGACTGGTCTCTCGAAATCCTCTTACAGTGCTAAGGCAACGGGGATGTCAGGAGGGGAGAGGCTGACTACCCACAAAAGATGACGGCTACCACATCAGCTCTAGATGATTAAATATGGTTTTCTGTGGGCAAGCAGATGGGAACTACTAGATGGCATATGTTCTGTATCAGGAACTAGAGCTGATGTGGTCTATCCAATGCAATTTTCTGACTAATTACCCCCAAATAACCAAAAAGAATCTAAAGTTGATCAAAACCTGATTCATAACCCATTTGATACTAATGTTGGAGAGTGGTCCCTGGTCAAGTGGTCCCAGGTCAAAAAAAGGTTAGGAACCACTGTTCTAGGCCAAAACTGGGCAATGGCAACTGCATTGTCTGTAGCCTGAAACAGCCTCTCCTCTGTGCATGAAGCAGGGCATTGTGGACAAGCATACAAGTCCTAAATCACACAAGGTGGAGGATTCTTCTAAGGTCATGCCATTTTGCCAGGCTGGCTTTTGACCTGCCCACTCCACTTCTGAGTCTGTTCAGGGACTTCCACATTTCCCATTCTTGGTTTGCCCCTGAAGGAAGACCATTGTGAGGGGCCATCCAGTTGGGATTTCCTGGTTTAGCTGCCTAGAAGGATGCTCTTGCTGTTACTGGGGGAATGTTAAGAGGAGTGGTGGTTCTCATGAAGCTTTTCCTTGATTTGAGTCTGTTGGGAGGAGGCCGGTAGCCATGCAGAGGGTGGCTTTCACAGTGTTCAACCTTATTTCTCTCAGTTAGCAGCAACTTCCCATTGCACATTTGGGGGTGGGCAATGCCAGCTAGCTTGTAGAGTCTATCCACAGGTGTAGTTTTGAGACATCCTGTGATTATTCTTCATTTTTCATTCAGTGCTATATTCACCTGCTTTGCATGGGCTGATTTATGCCAGATGGGCAGGCATACTCTGCAGTTGAGTAAGACAAGCCAGGGCTGATGTTCTTATTATTTTTGGGTTTGCACCCCATGTACTGCCAGTAAGTTTCTTCATAAATAAACATAACAACAACAACAATACACAATCAGCAAATAGGATACAATTGTTGAACAAGAAGGGAAAAAAACTGGGTTGCTGTAGGTTTTTTCGGGCTATATGCCCATGGTCTAGAGGCATTCTCTCCTGACATTTCGCCTGCATCTATGGCAAGCATCCTCAGAGATAGTGAGGTCTGTTGGAACTAGGAAAAATGGTTTATATATCTGTGGAATGACCAGGGTGAGACAAAGGACTCTTGTTTGCTGGAGCTAGGTGTGAATGTTTCAACTGACCACCTTGATTAGCATACAATGGCCTGACTGTGCCTGGAGCAAACTTTTGTTGAGAGGTGATTAGAAGTCCTTGTTTGTTTCCTCTCTGTTGTTGTGCTGTTGCAATTTTAGAGTTTTTTTTAATACTGGTAGCCAGATTTTGTTCATTTTCATGGTTTCCTCCTTTCTGTTGAAATTGTCCACATGCTTGTGTATTTCAATGGCTTCTCTGTGTAGTCTGACATGGTGGTTGTGAGAGTGGTCCAGCATTTCTGTGTTCTCAAATAAAATGCTGTGTCCAGGTTGGTTCATCAGGTGCTCTGCTATGGCTGACTTCTCTGGTTGAAGTAGTCTGCAGTGCATTTAAAAGTTCCAACCTTGATATAAACCACAATTATTTGAGGATATTATAGGCAGAAGATATCCTACATAACAAAGTGGGGAAAATCACTGGTACTCAGTGCACTAAAAGAGTATACAAGACCCTAAAAATCACAATTTAACAGTGGAAACAGAATTCAGGCCATAATCACATTGGCTAGGCCTGTTATTTGAGACAGTACTGGAATGGTTTATTGACACAATCAAAAGTAGATGCACTGACCAGAAAAATAAATCAGAAAATGATTACAAGACTCACTTTACATCCTCAGAGTGCTAATTAATTATATCTGCCACATAATATAAATAAACTACTGGTCAAAGGACATTTAGTATAATGCCACGTTTTTAACTTTGTTTGTGTTTTAAAATACATTACAGATGTAACCTCTGCCTGCTTCTTATTTATTTATTTTTTATTTATTACATACATTTCTATCCCGCCCTTCTCCCCACAAGGGGACTCAGGGCGGCCTTACATAAGCAGCCTTCTGACATGATAAATAAATATTAGAGTTGAGAGGAATTTTCTGATTTGTTTTGAGACCTAAAATTTCAAGAATTATTTCCAGAGTGTTTTCTGTGATTGTGGTGATGGGATCAGATGCTTCTCTGGGGCAAGAGATTAAGATGACAGTAGCACTGCTACAAATAGGGTCTCCCAAATCAGATAGGCTTTTGCTGAAGGATCAGATTAAAGATGCCAAAACCCATTAAATATGGTGCAGAAACCAAAAACAAATCCCCCATCAGATAAATCATTGCTTGGGTCAGCGAGCATCAAATCAGATTTCAGAGTTCCTGAAGATCATGTGATTTGGTATACTTTTAGTGATTAGTACTGTTTTAATACTTGTATATTTGAATATTTTAAGTTGTATTTCACAACTTTTAGTTATGAGCCGCTTTGAGTCTCCATATGGAGAGAAAAAGTAGGATATAAATAAATATAACAACAACAACAACAACAGAAAAATGGGCTACAAATGTCAGTAGTATCGTTTGCTGGATCGCCAAATCAAGATACTATGAAGCTCCTGGAATACCAACCAGAGAGCAAGAAATAGACACTGGCAGAAAATAGATTAAAAATAGAATGCCATTATAAGTAAAACCATCAACGAGGTTGTTGAAAGGAATATATATATATTACTAGCTGTCTCCTGCCACGCGTTGCTGTGGCCCAGTCTGTTCATCTGGAAAATAAAGTAATGAGAAAGTGTTGGTCTCTAATATATGTAATTTCTTTATGCTTGTGGGTAAACAGTATTTCTTGCTGTTTCTTTGTCAGTGTTGTTGTGGAGAGTGTCTGGTTTGCCTACTCTGGAACATGCAACATATCATTGTCCTTCTTAAGGGGTCCATTTCAAATCTATGATACTATATCTCTCTGTGTGTGAATCATATATATCTATCTATATCTATGTCTGGATGGCTCTTTGTCAGGAGGGCTTTGTTTACGTTTTCTTGCCCTGATGAAGGGAGTTGGATTGGATGGCCTCAAGTATTTTCTGTTGGTCATGGGTGTTCTTTGTGGGAAGTTTGACCCAATTCTGTTGTTCGTGGGGTTCAGAATGTTCTTTGATTGTAGGTGAACTGTGAATCCCAGTGACTACAAATCCTAAATGTCAAGGTCTATTTCCCCCAAACGCCATCTGTGTTCATATTTGGGTGCATTGAGTGCTTGTGCCAAGTTTGGTCCAGATCCATCATTGTTTGAGTCCACAGTGCTCTCTGGATGTAGGTGAACTCCAGAACTCAAGGTCAATACCCACCAAACCCTTCCAGTATTTTCTGTTGTTCATGGGAGTTCTGTGTGCCAAGTTTGGTTCAATTCCATCGTTGATAGAGTTCAGAATACTCTTTGATTGTAGGTGAACTATAAATTCCAGCAACTACAACTCCCAAATGACAAAATCATACTTTTTTGAGTGATAGTCACTCCTTGTGTTGTGAGACGTTTTGTTGCCAAATTTGGTGTGATTTCGTTCATTGGTTCTTTTGTTTTTAAGGTACTCATTATGCACAGAGCATTTTATATATATACTCGTAGATATGGAAAGGAATTATAATATAACATAATGAGGAGGAGAATGAGAGATCCTTCAACCCAGAAGGGCATCTGTGATAAGAGTAAAATATTACCATCTGTATTCTTGACATTTTTTTAGCTGATTCTGTATAAGAAGGCAGTTCCTGTGTATATGATGAATAGGGAGGAATCATTTTGGTATAAGGCCTCTGTACTCTGCTGTTCCCTTACAGATCCCACATGGCTATCGACTAATCTTGGCATTTTGACATGCATCGAGTGCTCAGGGATTCACCGTGAATTGGGGGTGCATTATTCTCGCATCCAGTCACTGACGCTGGATGTTCTCAGCACTTCTGAACTCCTGGTAAGTGCTAGATATGAACAGTGGAAGGAATGTGCTGTTTATCCCTTTCTTTCTCTCTTTTGTCTTGGGCCCAATATTCTTTTTTTTTTTTGTCCTCCTAAACTTATTGAAACAACTGTAAACACCTACATTGGTTATATGTCATTTGTATCAGCAGTGATCAAACTTATTGCCTACAGTATAAAACCATTGCAGAGATCAGCAACATGAGGAGGCCATGAAACAAATTCTGTGCAGCAGTGGCTATTTCCCTAGATCTCATGTTGGCCAGCTCCGCTTTTTGTGGCTACAGGAAATAGGATAATAGAGATGTGCACGAAATTCGTTCTTACCGTTTCTTCCGTTTCTTCCATTTATTTGGGAAGCCCCTTCCTCACACGAAATTCAGCTTGACACGAAAGCCTCCTTCCTGCTTTCATGTGGAGCCCAAATTCTGTATGTGCGTGCTTCTTCTCTTCCTCCTCCTCCCTCCCTCACGCCCACAAAGCCCCTCATTCACTCATAGGAGTCATGGCCGGGCAGCCCCACATCCTGACCTCATCATCAGGGTGGAAGGAACCACTGCCCCGCCCTCCTTTCCAGGTGTGTGTGGTGGGGTGTGCACGGAGTGTGACTGTGCAGGCGCTCAGCAGATATGCACAAGGTTGTTGTAGGCTTTTCCGGGCTATATGGCCATGTTCTAGAGGCATTTTCTCCTGACGTTTCGCCTGCATCTATGGCAAGCATCCTCAGAGATAGTGAGGTCAGGCTTTCCACACCTGCTTGCGCCCCACCACACACACACACACTCTTTCCAAGGAGAGGGTGTGTAGGGTATGGGGCGTGCAGACATGGCTGGAAAGCTTGTGCGTGCCTGTCAGTACCTGTCTACAGTTGAGTGCCTGCACCAGGCATGCCTGCATGCTCCAGGCTTCCTCAAACTTTGGCCCTCCAGCCATTAAGGCCTTCAACTCCCAGAATTCCTGAAAATTGAACAAGCCCATTAGGGCTTCTGGCAGTTGGAGGCCCAAACAGTTGGAGGGCTGCACTTTGAGGATGCCTGGTCTGCAGTCATACACACATGCCCCAATGCCTGCCACACTCTCTGAGTGGAAAGGAGGGAGGGGCAGTGACTCCCATGAGTGAATGTGGGGCATTGCAGGAGTGAGGGAATGAGGGAGGAGGAGAAAGAGAAGAAGCCCTTGAAGATAGCTCGGAAGTTCCAAGTGGTCCAACGATCAGCAGCCAGGATGTTAACTGGGGCCCCTTACAGAGAGAGGTCAACCCTCCTGTTTAAGGAGCTCCACTGGCTGCCGTTTATATTCCGAGCTCAATTTAAGGTGCAGGTGCTTACCTACAAAGCCCTGAACGGTTTGGGACCAGCTTACCTGCGTGACCGCATTTCCATCTACGAACCCACACGCTCACTTCGGTCATCTGGAGAGGCCCTGCTTGTGATCCCACCTGCGTCGCAAGCGCGCTTGGTGGGGATGCGGGACAGGGCCTTTTCCGTGGTAGCCCCCAGACTCTGGAACACCCTCCCCAAAGACCTTAGACAGGTCCCCACACTGGCAGTCTTCAGAAAGAACTTGAAGACTTGGCTTTTCCGATGCGCCTTCCCAGATTAGGAAATCTCCACTACCAAGTCCCATAAGCACCTTATCAAAACCAATGACTGCTGCACATCACACTTGCCCTTGAAGCCTCATATACACCTCCTGTCACATCAGCACTTTTAATTCTTGTACCCATTACTCTGCCTTGGCCCAGTTCTTATTGTGTTTTAGTGTATTGCTTTTGCCTGTTGTTTATTTGCTTTATCCCGTTTTTAATTGTTTGATTTGCCTAGTTTGTATTGCTATGTTGTGTGTTGAGGCCTCGGCCTGTGTAAGCCGCATCGAATCCTTCGGGAGATGCTAACGGGGTACAAATAAAGTAAATAATAATAATAATAATAATAATAATAATAATAATAATAATAATAATAGCGCGATGCCCACACATACATGCACCTGCCAGTGATTGCCAGGTAGTTGAGCACCTCAGGAAGAAAAACTAGTGGGTGGGAAGCCCCCTCCCCATAATGGGCTGATTTTTAGGCCCCATTTTCAGGCCGTGAAACAAAAGACAAGAAACAACCAGGGAGACTTACCGAAAACTGATCGGGGCTCCACAACAAAAGACAAGAAACAAAACAGGACAAGCTTTTACCCGAATGCACACTACTACAGGATAATAGTTTTCCTTGGGAAGCTTCCAGGAGATTCTGTTCCCATCCCATATTAGGTTGTCCCATCTGCACCACAATTGAGCAGACCAGAAGTAAAAAAAAAGTGATTTCCAGAGATGATTTCAAGGATGACCACCTTTCCTCCCAGTGACACATATTTTTTTCTCTTCTCATAGCTGGCAGTCAGCATTGGAAATGCCAAGTTTAATGACATCATGGAGGCCACTTTGCCAGCACAAGGCAGCCTGAAGCCCTCCTCAACCAGCGACATGTGAGTGGATACTGAAATTGGTGCAAGGAGGTAGATGTTGTAGGGTAATAATAATAAACTTTATTTTTAACTCACTCTCTCTCCCTGAAGGGACTCAGGGAAGCTTCCAAAAGTGAGAAATGGCAAACATTCGATGCCATGTGCTATGACACAAAAAACATTAAAACAGGCAGTTAAAAATAAACAAATTAATCACCTTGGATAAAACATATAAATCAGTCAAACATCATACGCTTTGGGTACTTGGTAAAAAGGAACACCTTGATGGAAAGAAACCAGACACTCTTTAGTTTAATTATTCTGCTACCCCCCCTTTTTTCTACTATTTACCCGTATACTTTTCCCGCTCAGTTAATTTCTCCTTTTGCATTATGTTTTTATGGAAAATCAATAAAGTTTTTTTAAAAAAAATCAGTCAAACATCAAATAACACATTGAACAGTTAAATATGTATAAAAATATAAAATATAGCTCTTCAATAAGTTAGGGTAATCATTGTCAACATCGTCAAATGAGGTGGGATTGATGGTGAACTATTCTTCTTCCTCTCCATAGGCTAACATACAAAAGTAGGTTTTTACCTGGAAGGTTTTTAGTTGATTGCAGTGTCCGAGTGGGTTTGTAGATGGGAATGTGGTTTGTCAAATGGTCTGGCCCCCGAACCATTTGCCATCTTCCAGAATGCACCAGCCAGCATTGAGAAATGGTAGTCCAGAAATATAATATTTCTTCTTTGTAGTCTTTGTGACTCACTCAAATGGGGTTATTCTTCAGAATCTTCAGAAATGCCTACATCTCAAATTTAGGAGCTCTGACATTTCCATGGCACATCTTCCTGGTCCTTTGCCACCTAATCACATGTAGGCAGCTGCAAAAAGAATGATCTGCAGATACTCAAATCTGCAAATGCTTAAACTACAAAACTGAAGGGATGACTGGAGAAGTCTTCATATAAGAGGCAGCATGCTGATACCTGAAAATATTGGCCTGACTCCTCAGAGTAAATGCATCATGTCTTGATCAACAGAGGGCCATGATATTCCTCTATCTCAGTGGTTCTCAACCTGAGGTCCCCAGATGTTTTTGGCTTTCAACTCCCAGAAATCCTAACAGCTGGTAAACTGGCTGGGATTTCTGGGAGTTGTGGGCCAAAAACATCTGGGGACCCCAGGTTGAGAACCACTGCTCTGTATAGATCGGGGGTCCTCAAACTAAGGCCTGGGGGCCGGATACGGCTCTTCAAGGTCATTTACCCGGCCCTCAGGATCAACCTAAGTCTGAAATGATTGAAAGCATGCAATAACAACAGCAATCCTATCTCATCAGCCAAAAGCAGGCCCACATTTCCCACTGAAATACTAATACATTTATATTTGTTAAAATTGTTCTTCATTTTAATCATTGTATTGTTTTAAAGTGTTTTTGCACTACAAATAAGGTATGTGCAGTGTGCATAGGAATTCATTCATGTTTTTTTTTTCAAATTATAATCCGGCCCTCCAACATCTTGAGGGACTGTGACCTTGCCCTCTGTTTAAAATGTTTTAGGACCCCTGATATAGATAATGGACTTTTTGGAGCAGAATCTGGCAGAGAGCTCCATTATCAGACAATTTTTCAGATGTGTAGCCGCTAGAGTTGTGCAATTTGGCTGAACTGTGATCCGTTTTCGGTATCTGAATTTGGGCGGATCCATTTTTGTGAGCCTTCCGAAAACAGTCAGCATTTGAAAACCGATAAATGCGGGAAAATCTGGCCATTGGTGGTAAGGGGGGGGGGGGGGCTTCCCAGACTGGTACTATTTGCTGGTATTAGTCTTATTAGTAATAATGTTTTGAAAGTATTTTCTTTTAGGCAAAGCTTCAATATTAAACCAAGCCTAATATTTTTAATCACAAGAACATATGAAAAAAAAAACCCTATCCGATTTGTCGTCGATCCACTCCTTTGGGCTTCATGCAAAAGGGTAGATGCAAAGAAACAAATAACATCAAACACAAAAAGCACAAAACATTAATATAAAACATTAACCTGCAACTACTAACAAAACTACTAAACCAGAACCAATTCACAAAATATACATATAAAGGCAAAACTAATGAATACATTTAGACACTAATCTACCAACCTCTCACTCTCTATGATGTTTTTTAGGAGTAGATTACAAGTAGTCTTGTCTCTTTAAGACATGTTGTTCATTCGTTCAGTCGTTTCTGACTCTTCGTGACCTCATGGACCAGCCCACGCCAGAGCTCCCTGTTGGCCGTCACCACCCCCAGCTCCTTCAAGGTCAATCCAGTCACTTCAAGGATGCCATCCATCCTTTAAGACATATTATATTATATAACCACACTTCTGCATGTAGTAAAGCTCTTGCTGTTTTGCATTGCTTGAGTGCTGGACTCAAAGTCAGCTCAGTTATGGACACTTCTTGGGGAATTTGGGATTAAGTCACAGTGGAAGGCAAGAGCAAACTCCCTTTGAACAAATCTTGCCAAGTAAAACCAATGACAAGTGCCAAATATCAGAAACAAATTGAAGACTTACAACAGCCATTTTTTGTAATTAAACAGGAAGAATGGGGATGCGGGAGGAGGAGGTGGATCATTGCTCGAGCCCAGAAAGTCTTTTCTTAGTTGCCATTGGTAAGGTCTCCGTTTTTGAGAGCATTCCTTCTCTTCTTGGGCAGGGTTGCACGGAAGGAATTCATCATGGCTAAGTACATGGAGCGCAAGTATGTTCACAAGTCCACCAAGGATGAACCATACCGCGTTTGGGAAGCCGTCAGAAGCAGAGATCTTTTGGCAACGCTTCAGGCCTTTGCAGAGGGCCATGACCTGTCCAAGCCTTTAGCAAGCCCTGATGGCCAGGTAAGTAGCAAAAAATGGGACAGAAGATTACAGAGATGCACACCTGAATTCTACTCATTTCACTTATTGAATCAATTGCTGAATAATTAGTCAATAATAATTGAATCCCATCAATTCAATGAATCTTTTCAAGATTAACCCTAGGATTCAAAACTTAGATGTACTTAGGGAAGAGCATTGAAATCTAGTTAGATTTAGCAAACTTGAATCCCATTGGGTTCAGTGGGTCTAGTCGGCTGTTAAGAATTTTGGGAGTTGGAGTTCAAGACACCTGGAGGAAGGGCCGAAGTTGGCCCAGGCCTAGTCTAGCCCATTACCACTTTGTATTCAGCCTTCTCTTTGAAGCACTTTGAAGATGCTTTCCATAGATGCAGGCAATACGTCAGGAGAGATTGCTTCTAGAACATAGAATCATAGAGTTGGAGGAGACCTTATGGGCCATCCAGTCCAACCCCCTTCCAAGAAGCAGGAAAATTGCATTCAAAGCACCCCCGAAAGATGGCCATCCAGCCTCTGCTTAAAAGCTTCCAAAGAAGGAGCCTCTACCACACTCCGAGGCAGAGAGTTCCACTGCTGAACGGCTCTCACAGTCAGGAAGTTCTTCCTAATGTTCAGATGGAATCTCCTTTCTTGTAGTTTGAAGTCATGGCTACATAACATGGTTATATAGCCTGAAAAACCTACAACAACCCAGTGATTCCAGCCATGAAAGCCTTCAGCAATACATTAAACGGTAGTTAATTATAATGCAGATGAATGAGGGAGTAGGAAAGTAGACTCTGGAAGTACAAATGTGTATAAACACTGACCAAAGTCCCTCTCCTGCAACAACTGATTAATTTCTGCTGCCAGCTAACCACTTCGGTGTCTCTCTGCTCATCAAGATATAGCACAGCCCCCTTCCATACAGCTGTATTAAATCCACATAGAATATGGCAGTGTGGACTCAGATAACCCAGTTCAAAGCAGATATTGTGGATGGTCTGCCTGGATATTCTGGGTTATATGGCTGTGTGGAAGGGCCCTCAGAAGCAGAGTCTAGAAGTACAAATGTGTATAAACCCTGACCAAAGTCCATCTCCTGCAACGACTGATCAATGTTGATTAACTTCTGCTGCAAATTATTTATTTATTTATTTATTTATTTATCTTACTTATATACCGCTGTTCTCAGCCCAAAGGTGACTCACAGCGGTTCATGTCTCTCTGACCTTCAAGATACAGCACAGAAGCCCATTCCCCTGTGGAGCAAAGAGTTGATTTTTGGCTGTAAATTTTAGGGCTTAAATCTGGAACAAACCTTACAGAATCTATTGCTTTTTGTGGTTTGTCACTCTCAAGCCCCTTCTACACTGCCATAAAATTCAGACTATCAAAGCAGATCCACATTATCTGCTATTAACTGGATTATATGAGTTTACACTGCCAGATAAATCAGTTCAAAGCAGATAATCTAGATGTTATGTGGCTGTGTTTTCAGAATCATAGATTATGCAGGATTTCCTTCAGATTAAGATCTACTTGTCCTTTCTTGATCTGACTTGAATGAACCCTTCTAAGATGAGCTCGAGCACAGAAGGTTCCGCAACATGTTGAGTCTCCTTTTAAGCTCTAAAGGGCTTGCAAAGTAACTCTGAGTTTCTCTTGCTCGGATAGGAACAAGGTGAACGGGCTCTGCACCTGGCTGTGCGCTGTGCCAACAGGTCGTCCCTCCCACTTGTGGACTTCATTATTCAGAATGGGTAAATCTTTTCATTGGAGGATTTCTTGCTTGCTGTAAGCAGAGATGGGTGAAATTGTGATTCCCTCTTACACACCTGCCATCCAGGAGGCCATAATTGTACATTATTATTATTATTATTATTATTATTATTATTATTATTGTCATCATCATTATCATCATCAACAACAACAACAACCAATTCAACATGTTTCTGGAGTAGAACAACTACTTTCACAGTAAGGACCACACGATTAAATGGGAAATAACACTTTCAACCCAGGAGCAGAATTTTGTTCAACTTTTGTTACATAGTGTTATTGACCAGAAACCCAAGCAGAACTACCGTATATTCTGGCATATAAGACTACTTTTTAACCCAAGAAAATCTTCTCAAAAGTCAGGGGTCGTCTTATACGCTGGGGTAGTCTTATACACAGGAGTAGCCTTATGCATGGGAGTAGTTTTATATGCTGGTGTAGTCTTATACATGGGAGTAGTCTTATAGAGCGGGTGCTGAAACTTGCAATCCGGATTGGAGAATCTGTGGTTGCTGCTTATTGTGGGGGGAGCTCAAAAATGGCAGTGGCCGCGTCCCTGCCATATACAGCGACTGTATGAAAGCATTAAGGGCAACGCTGTACAAGTACGGTAGAAGAAAGTCCATTCATCATGATTTGTGGACTTAATGCGGTCCCGATGGTGAGGTGAAGGGGTGCCTCACCGGGAAGCTGTAAGTGAAGGGCGGAGCAAGCTGGAGTCGTCCAGGGTGCCCAGGGTATGGAAAAAAGAGATAGAGTGGCTCTGGACCCCAACAAACACAACTCTTTTACCTGTCTGGCCCGCCCTTGTATCCTATTACCATGCCTCCTCCTCTGCCCCTCAGATCTCGCTCCTGAAGACTGCAGTGAAGCAGTGCAGGTGCACATGTGAGATCTGAGAGGCAGAGAAGGAGGTACAGCAATAGGAAAATTACCGTATTGAAATCAAATCTCATGCTTTAATTATGTAATATGTTAGGTTGTTAACTGTTTTTACACTGTAGCATTGAATTTTTGCTGTCCTTATTTGTTGTGAACCGCTGTGAGTCGCCTTCGGGCTGAGAACAGCGGTATATAAGTAAAGTAAAGTAAATAAATAAATAAATAAAATTTTTAAAAATGGTGTGCGTTGGAAGAGAGGTAGTCTTATACAGCGAGTAAATCCCAAACTCTATATTTTAGCTGGAAACGTTGGGGGTCGTCTTATACGCCCAGTTGTCTTATATGCCGGAATATACAGTACTCCCCTTAGGAGGTTAGCAAACACTGTAATGTATTTAGATACCAAGATTTTAAATTTGGGTATGTGTGCCAAGTTCGGCCCACATCCACCATCAGTGGTATTTGCATGACTTTCTGGATGCAGAGTAAACTACAGCTCCCATCATCCTGGGTCAAATTTCTCCCCTCCAAACCACTCCAGTATTTCTGTTGGTTATGGTGGTATATATGTCAAGTTTGGTCTAGATCCATCGCCCGCGGGGTTCACTTCAGCTGTCTAGATATGGGAATCATCTTGGGAAATACATGCGTACAAACATATTTTCAATTTTATTGTAGATATTTTATTATTATTTATTCATTACCAATATATAACAATAGCTTATAATATATAGAGATTACAGCCCCCCTGTATAAATGTATAACTTATTCAGTGATTTATAATGTTCTGTTGATGTGGGGTTTGCTCATTTATTTAGGGCGCTTCCAGACAGCACTAAATCACAGGTTTTAAACAGGGGCAAAACATCCTGATACTTCATGAGTAATCCATATACAGACCTGTTGGTCTCAGGATTTCAGCCTCTATTGTCCAGATTTGATGCTTTCTTGCAAAATTTAGAGGCTCCCAAGATGGCTACTGTAGGACTTCCACCGGAAACATCATTTTTTTTAACCCTCAAGATGCAGATATGCGGAGAATCACTGCAGCAAATCACTCCATTCTTTGCCCTGGCCAGAGAAACTGTGTCCTCCAGACATTTCATGAAGTATCTGCAACACAAACAAAGTTTATGGTATAGGACCTCTTCTGCCCACATGGGAACACACACTTACAAACCAGGAATAGAACGTGGCCATTATTGTCACTTCTTGAGCCTGGCCGCCTGGCCATATGTCCAGACAGATTTGGTTATGTACGTGTGGCATCAAACAACAGGGTGCTGTTCCTGGGTTATACATGGCTGTTCCTGATTGCTCTTCTTGTGAAAAGATGTACAACATTGACCAGGGGGCCACAACTTTGTCCTGGCCAGAGAAAATGTGTCCTCCACACATTTCATGAAGTTTCTGGCACACAAACAAAGTTTCACCTTCTACTCAAGTCTCACCTTATTTTTTGGAACTGACCAATCAGGAACAAACATCTAAAACCTGGGAACAAAACCAGAAAAACAATCCTGTGATTTCCGATTGCAGGGACATACAGACATGTGAAGATCCACATATTTGACTCAAATACACGATTTCCCACACCTGGAAATCTTACGTTTTTTGCCTTCTGTAGCAATTGCTTCCATGTTTACAGGGAATGGCGTCTGGCCACACTCCTGTTTGCTACAGAAGCTCCTGGGAAAAGGTACTGTCTGGACGGACCCTTAGTTTTTTAACAGGCAGTAATAGGGGACATTTAGCCACTAGATCAGGGGTCCTCAAACTAAGGCCCAGGGGCCGGATACAGCCCTCCAAGGTCATTTACCCAGCCCTCACTCAGGGTCAAAATAAGTCTGAAATGACTTGAAAGCACACAATGACAACAACAACAACAATAAAATAATAAAACTTTGTTTATATACCCCCTATCTCCCCTAGACTCAGGGACTCAGAGTGGTTTCCACATATCCAAAATAATACAAAAATGTACAATATAAAGCAAAACATAGGCATAAACTGTTAACACAACATATACATTAAAATCAATTTAAACCAGTTCCGCTCTCTTCTTCATGCAAGGTAAGCTGCCAGGGGCAAAGATTTCAATAAGGGTCTGGACTATTTGGTACGGGCTGGGCCAAGGCTAGTGCAAGGAGAAGGGAAAAATGGGGCTGGCTGAATGCTGAAGTGCAAGGATCGGTCTCAGCAATGGCCCTACTAGGGGACCGGGGTCATTCAATTCCAGGGCCAATTAAAGGACTATAAAAAAGGTCTGAGCGGGAAGAAAAGGTGCCTTTAGATGACAGGGAACTGGGGAATGGATGGGGTACGAGGTGAAGTCCTAACTGTTGGACCAAGGGCTTTAGACTTGAGACACGTTGTTATTGAAGGCCTGATGAAACCACCAAGTCTTCCAAGTTCTTACGGAAGGAGGTGAGGGATGGGGACAACCTTATCTCCCTGAGGAAGGTGTTCCAGAGGCAGGGGGCCACCACCGAGAAGGCCCTCTCCCTCGTCCCCACCGACCGGGCTTGTGATGGTGGTGGGAGCGAGAGGAGGGCCTCCCTGATGAATCTTAGTGTCCACGCCGGTTCATAGGGGGAGATGCGATCGCGGAGATAGGCAGGGTCCAACAATCCTATCTCATCAGCCAAAAGCAGGTCCACACTTCCCACTGAAATATTAATGCATTTATATTTGTTAAAATTGTTTTCATTTTAATTATTGTATTGTTTTAAGTGTTTTTTGCACCACAAATAAGATATCTGCAGCGTGCATAGGAATTCATTCATGTTTTTTTTTTCTTCAAATTATAATCCAGCCCTCCAATAGTTTGAGGGACTGTGAACTGGCCCTCTGTTTAAAAAGTTTGAGGGCCCCTGTACTAGATGATGAAGAACTCCTGTTTTCCATTGTATTTAACAATTGGGCATCCTGTATGCAGTTGCTGGGGATTAGAGTTCAACAATGTCTGGAAGGACGCAGTTTCTCCATCTCTGTTGTTAAGAGTAGGAAGTTCATGATGGAAAATAATGAAAGTAGGAGATGGATATAGTGATGTTTGGAAGGTCTCTCCTGCATCCACAAGACAGAAGATTTTGTTTTGTGTTTTTTTCCAAAATGCAAGCTTGTGGTTGTTTTCCGTTTTGTATTTGTATGTAGGGGAAACCTGGACAGTCCTGCACCAGATGGAAACACTGCGCTACATTATGGAGCCCAGTACAATCAGACCAACTGCATCAAACTGTTGCTGAAGGGGAAAGCCTCCACAAGTGCAGGTACTCAAGGACAGAGGCAGTAACAGAGTCATGTTAGGGTTAAAGAGCCAGTAGGCAAGAAAATTGTAAATAATATGTCCTGTATAAATCTTGTCTCTGTCTGGCATTTGAGGTCTAGTGGTGCGGTTGTGGTGAAGATGTTGTACCAGATAGTGAAGGATATGTTGGCTTTCAGAGAGCACCCAAAGAGCTATCAAAAGCAATCTGCTATTTATTGCATGGGAAAGTATATAATTCCTAGAAAATGCATAGCTTCAAAATATTAGTAAAGGTGTGAACTAATACAATTGTACATGGATACAATCTATAGCTGCTAGTCTTATGCCTTTGTACAGAATCAGTATCCATTCCGGTTTGTTTCATTCGTAAGGCCCCGTTTACGTTTTCAAGCACCTCTTCCAAAAACAGGTGCCTTTCCGAATAAGCTTTTTTTGTCCAAGGTCCGAAAAAATTGAATATTTTTGGCTCATTGGAGGCAAAGTGCCAGGGTCTACAACCAAGCGCCGAACACCTCTTATTCAGCCAGGGCCTGCCAGGGCCTACAGCCAGGAGTTTGGCACTTGGTGTTTGGCTGTAGACCCTGGCAGGCCCTACAGCCGAGCACTGAGGGCAGAGCACTGAGCACCAAATAAAAGGCATTATGTTATGTTTATTTAAGTTGGCTATTCTTTTAATATTTATTGAGTTTATATACCCATTGTTTGATTTACTATTCATTGTTTTTGGCATTGAATGTTTGCCACTATGTTGGGGAGATAGGGCCTACAGCCAAGCACCAAGTGCCAAAAATCAGCTGACCAAATGGTTACTATTCCCACTTACCTTTCGTTTCGCCCATATTTCCGTACAGGAGGGCATTTACCGTTTCTAATAAATATTAGTAAAGGTGTGAACGAATAACGGTTTCAAATAACGGTATGAAATGAAAACATGAAATAAACAAATGAGACAAATGCTGGGCCCATGACTAATGACTACTAAACCTTTATTTTGAAGATAATAATAATAATAATAATAATAATAATAATAATAATAATAATAAATTACACGACCTTATTATTATTTATTACACGACCTATCTCCCCGACATAGTGGCAAACATTCAATGCCAAAAACAATAGAATAGCCAACTTAAATAAACATAACATAACATAATACCATACACACATTTACAACACAATCAACTCTTAAAACTCTTAACATTAGACTGAAAACATTAAAAATAAGATGGGATGTAACATCTAACAAGTGAAGGTAGGTGTCACCAAGTAGGCAAGGGTATATACAAAGATGTCCTAATCCTCATTCATGGCCACAGGTATTCAAGTAACTAGTCTTGCATTCTGTTTTGGAGCACATACGTGGGAATATCAGAATCACCTTTTCCCTTCATTCCCTGGTTCAGGCAAGTGTTTGTTTTCTTTTCCATTTTGCAGTTAATGCAGCTGGTGAAACACCATTGGACGTGGCAAAAAAGTACAAGCATATTGAGTGTGAAGACCTGGTAAGTTGCAGAGACCATTAACAGCAATGTGGTTATTTTGGTGGGAATCTCAGGCTCACATTGGGGAGATCCATAGTCAGCTCCCTGCTCAACTGCAGACTGGCCATTATCTCTCAGCTTAAGCTACTTTGAAGGTTGTTATGATGTTCAAATAGAAGCAAAGGGGGAGCTGAACGAAATGCAATGGACCAAAAGAGTCACCTGTAAATAATGGGGAACATTGAGTTGGATCCAGACATAATCATATCTAAACAACTGATCAAAATCAATAGGATTGGATGGCCCACGAGGTCTCTTCCAACTTAATAATTCTATGATTCTAACCACACTTGGATTAGGTAAAAGTATAGCTATTAGTAAAGATTGGTGTGCAGCACACTTAAATACCTGGGAGTTACCTGGACCGTGCTCTGACCTACACGAAGCACTGGCTGACTATCAAGCAAAAAGTGGGCACTAGAAATACTATCATACGAAACCTGACTGGCACAACTTGGGGATCTCAACTAGACACAGTGAAGACATCTGCCCTTGTGTTTTCCTACTTTGCTGCTGAGTACACATGCCCAGTGTGGAACACATCTCACCCCATTAAAACAGTGGGTGTGGCTCTTAATGAGACATTCCGCATTATCACAGAATGTCTATGCTGTACCCCACTGAAGAAATTACACTGTTTTCCCGGTATTGCACCACTTGACATCCACTGGGAAGTAGCAGCCAATAACGAAAGGACCAAGGCAGTGACATCTCCAGCCCATCCCTTGTTCGGATATCAGCCAACACCTTAAATCAAGAAATAGATGTGCAGAGATCTAAGATGTACAGAGATACTCGCAGGAACACCTCAGCAAGTGAGAGTCCAAAAGTGGCAGGCTCAAACCCGGAACCTCAAGCCATAGCTGATACTGAATGAGAGACGGGGGGGAGGTATCTCTGTGTGTGCCCCCCCCCCAGGCATATAGAGGACTGGGCAAATTGGAAGGCACTGAACAGACTACGCTCTGGCACCAGATGTAGAGTTAACCTTAAGAAATGAGGCAACAAAGTGGAGTCCACAACATGAGAGTGTGGAGAAGAGCAAACCTCAGACCATCTACTACAAAGAAGCCTGAGCCCTGCCACTTGCACAGTTGAGGACCGTCTCACAGCCACACCACAGGCACTCCAAGTTGTCAGGTACTGGTCAACGGACATTTAGTATAAAGCCAAGCTTTTAAACTTTGTGTTTCTTCAATACATTACAACTTTCCCCTTGGTTCGCTTCTGATACGATAAATAAATTAATAGTAAGGATTGGTGTCACCATGTCAGAAGACCACTCATAATGGTATAGTGATAATAACAAGTATCTCTTTGCAGCTGGAGCAAGCGCAGATGGGGCGGATGGCTGCCCAGATCCACGTAGACTACGACTGGGAAGCTCCTCAAGAGTTTTCTTATGACAGCGAAGACGAGCTGGATGAGAAGGTGCTTTGCTGAGAACTCTTGTGTTTTGCATCTTATGCTTTTCCACCAAAGCTTGGAAATGTTGCTTTTTAAAACTTAAGACTTCCAACCAGAGGTCTATAGTTAGTTTAATGATTCAATGCCATTTACTTAACTTCTTATTGGCCATCTGTCGTAGCCAGCTGACTGATTGAATCTTATTTCAATGCTGGAGATAGGATAGCAAGCAACCTTCTCAATTGATCAGAGTAGCATGCTAGCATAGGTGGCATACAATAAAGTATATGACATTTTTCCATCACGTCACTTTGCTTCACTGTAGTGCTTTCTCTGCTAGTGGAATCTTCAATATGGTAGGAGACGTAATTGCTACTTCAGGCAATACCACAATCAGTTTTGCTTGAACCATATCTTCTTAAACTTTTTCAACTTGCAACCCCTTTTTGCCCAAGAAATATTTGTGACCCTAGGTCTATAGTAGAGGCGTCCATTTCTTTCGTTAGTCCTCATAAGTCATATCAAATTGTTAAATGTGGACTTACGAGGCAATATCCGACATGTGTTCCAAAAATTTAAGAATCAAAAGTCACTCAATACTTTTTTGTTTGCATTTTGTAAACCTTGGAAGCCTCCCAAAGACAATTTCATGTTCAGCGCAAGGAAGCAAAGTTACGCCAAAAGGCTACTTTTCCTCTTTAAATGAATTGCCTCTCACCATTCGGAGAGGGAAACAGCAGGGAGAAAGATGCAGAAAGGTCAGGATTCTGGGAAATGTAGTTTGGGAAGGTGCAGAGCCCTATGGTAGAGAATGCAAAAGATTGAACTACGTTTCCCAGAATTCTGCTCAGCATCAAGAAACCCCAATCAGGAGAGATGTGTTCCTCCTTAGCAGCAGCCAGCCAGAGTTCCAATGAATGGTTGAATTTGCAAAGAGGAGGACTGCTGAGACTTCTAGGAAGTAAATCAGTGCTGGGCTGGGAAGAAATACCTACATGGATGGCCCTTGGGAGTCCCTTCCAACTAAATAAGGGAGTTTAGAGACTGGATGGCAATCTGTCATGTGAGTTTTGATGGTGCCCTTCTGCCTGGAAGGAAGGAGTTGAACTAGATGGCCCTTGGAGGTCTCTTCCAACCCTAGGATTCTATGAAAATGTAGAATTGGCTAATATTGGTTTCTATTGGTTAATATATGAGAGACATTCAATGTGACAGCTATTGTGGCTTTTTAAAAAAAGTTTTTGTCAAAACTTTAAAAAAAATTCCTAAAATCAGTAGATGTCTGAATATTTCTGAAAGTTGGGGGAATGATTCTCTGTTACCTTGTGTCGTTGTATAGAAAATTCAAGGAGCTAGCTCTTGTACGGTTTTAAAAAATGTTGTTTATAAAAACTTTGAAAATTCCCCAAAAATCCATGAATAAGTGAAACATTCTGAAACTTGATGGACTCACAGTGGTCAATGTGTTCTACCATTGTAGCAAGTTTCACCACAACACCAGTAGAAACGTGGGAGAAAGGAGTCCCTGAAATTTCCCCAATTTTAGTAAATATGCGCCACTACTATAACAAAAAAGTAATGAAATTTTATTACTCTCATTATAGTAATAAAAATTTCACTAAGTATACTTTAGAAACACTTTAGACATGAAAGCCAGCACCCCCTAATTTTGTACTGACTTTTGAAACATTTTTTATTGATCGCACATGCCTAGTATATACAAATCACACCTTTTTGATTATCAGATGGTTAAATCTGATTCTTGGGGGAGGCTTTGAAACAGGCAGTGGTGTTGGCTCTCTGGGTACCAGATCTGGAGCCTAGAAACATTCCTTTTAAAAATTGCAAATCCCTAGAATCAGCCTATGTGAGGGATTCTGATGTTCAAAATCCACAAAGTAAAAAATTGCAAACTCTGCTTGAAACATAGCTTTGTTGCTTCCTCTGGCAGGTGAGTCCTCTTCAGCGATCTTTTGGATCCTCGCCTTCTCCAACCATGGACCAGCCTGCCCTCTTTCCTCCAAACAGATGGAGCTGTGCAGGCATGGACATCAGCAACAAGACCTACGAAAGTGTTTTGGTCCCTTCGCGGCCTGGCATGCGCAGCACAAACAGCGAGGAGACCCCTCCACCACTGCCCATCAAAAACCCCATCAGAGGAAGTTCTATGACAAAGCCAGGTAAACAAAAACAGCTATGACTATTAGTCTGGCCTGGGCAACTTGTGTCCTCCGTGTTGGGGCTCAGCAGCAAGATGCTGGGGATTCTGCCTCAGAGAATGAAGGGAATGATGGATTTTTCACAGAGTCGGTGTGTGATCAGGCTGAAACACAGGCTGAATTGCAGGCAGTAGATTAGAAAGAAGGGTTGGCAGCTGCAGAAGAGATAGAGGATGTTTGGGATTCGGTTTCCCTTGGGAATCAGCCTTCAGAAGATGGGGAGTCCAAAACCGGGATTGTGGCGCAGCTGGCTGAGTGTCAGCTGCAGTAAGATCATTCTGACCAAAAGGTCATGAGTTCGAAGCCAGCCCAGGTTGGAGTGGGTTTCCAACCAATTGTGTAGCCTGTTGTCGACCTTTGCAACCCGAAAGACAGTTGCATCTGTCAAGTAGGAAAATTAGGTACCACCTTAAAGTGTGGGGAGGCTAAATTAACTAATTTATGAGGCCATAAAAAAGACTCCAACAAGCACTCCAGCAAAAAGCATGCGGGGAATGTGGAAGTACTTCAGCAGTGTCGCAGATGGACGATGAAAGCGACAGCTCCCCTGGCGGCCAGAAAAAGTTAAATAGCCTCTGTCTATGTCTATGTCTGTATATGTTGTATGTCAAAATTGGCATTGAATGTTTGCCATATATGTGTACACTTTGATCCACCCTGAGTCCCCTGCGGGGTGAGAATGGCAGAATATAAAAGCGGTAAATAAATAAATAAATAAATAAACACTGAAAAGATGTTATACTTGGAAAAACTGAGTTTTCCGGCTGTTAGGAATTGTTGGTGTTAAAGTCCAAAACACCTGTAGGGCCAAAGTTGGCCCATGCCTGGGTTAGCATGACCTCCTTCCCTTGTTTCCTCCTGTCTTTGGAGATTACCTAGTTGTCATGTAGTTGAGGACTTGTTTGTGTCTCATTCTGAACCTTGTAATAAATTGCTGTTGTTGTATTATTCTCCTTGAACAAGCAGCCCTTTCCCAATTCTTTCTAGATGTTCCCGACTCCCTAACCCAGTCTCCAGACGCCACTGACGTTTGGCACTCGCCCACTTCTGTTGCTCCCGGCTCAGTGGACAATTCAACACCCAGGCAGCTGTCCAGCTTCCGTAACTCAGTGGAAGTCAAAGGCACGGCCTATTGGGAAACCTGCTGCGAGATGGAGGGCAGGGCGCAACGGAGGCGGTCAGAGCCCACGCAGACAACAACGCCTCCACTTCCACCTTCTCCAGGCACCTCTCCAGAACAAGGGCCAGCAACGCCCGTCAGGTTCAGGTGGGACTGTGACTTAACCATGTGGGAAAAGGATTGAAAATCAGCCTCCTTGTTTTTGAGACAGAAGCAACCTTGTCTTTCAAACTAGATCATTTGTGATACTTATGGGCCATTCTGGAGAATACCATGCACACAAAACAATGCACACATTTACAAATGTGAAAGGCTAAAAATCAATTTTATTAGAGAAAAATGCAGAAATGCATTTTAGTCAAGAAAGGAGAAGATGTGCATGTGAAATTATTATACTTGAGTAATAAGGGTACACTAGAGAAAAGTGTAAGATGTGGATTGATTTCTGTAGAGAAAATCAAAATGAAGTGTTGTAACCAAATACACTACAAAGACAGATCAAGTGGGATTCAAGAAATCGTTCTTTGCATGTCTTTGTTCCTTTCAGATCCACCCCTTATTTATTTATTTATTTATTTATTATTTGCATTTATTGACCGCCACTCTCAGCCCGAAGGCGACCCTTCCATCTGACTCCTCTGTCTCAAAGTAATTTTTTTGCTCTCAGCTGCAGGAAACAAATTGAAGATGTTTTATATAAAAAGAACATTATACTTAACATAGTATTGTGCTAGGATTTTTTGACTTTAAAGTTCTCCCCATTTGCCAGATTAGATTTATATGCAATGTGTACCATCCCTTCATTCATGCATTTGCAAATAGTATTAAAAAATTATACTCTCTTGACAACAGCAGGGGAAGTAAAGTCTTGCAGCTATAATATTTTGTAACAGAGATAAACAAATAGGGAGGATCTGAGGACCGTTTTCTCCACCCAAACATGATGCAGCATCCTTTCTAGTGAAATGAGAGTAGAAAAAATCATTTTCTAGTTTGTAACTTGTACATTTTTTACTTTTAAAAGATTTTAGATACAAAGGGAAGTAGTAATTAGAGCAGGGTTTTCTGGAGGCTTAAGGAGTTTCCAGGCAGTCTCATACTCTGGGTCAAAGAAGTGGGACAAAAAATCGCAGGACTTACCAGGAAGTCCAGACACGGAGCTGTCGGCCCTGGTCAACGTTCCCTTGGCATCCTTACACCTCTGTTTGTAGTGGATTTTAGAAATCACCGAGATGGATAGGCTACATTTCGCAGAAGTTCACTTTAATTTTTAAAAAAATTGACACTCTGAGATGCACTGGACCTCATATGTGCTGATACGGATATCAAAATGTACACACAAGCAGATTTCTTATTATCTCTCCTCACCCTACTGTCAATTCAAGTACTTTTTAAATTCCATAAAGATCAAAACAAAGGAATAGTTGCAGAGAATTCTCATTCTAATTGCTTTCCAATTGTGTATCATTTAGCTACCTGTCTGTCTGTGGCTCCATTTTTTACAGCTCTGATCAGCTGTTTCAGGATTTTAAACATGCATTTCTGAGTTTTAGGACCTGTGTAGAAAGGCCTGTAAAGGAATGTTATTCAGTGTCCTTCCCTCCCTCTGAATGTATTTATGTGTGTATATATGTGTGTGTGTGTGTATACACACACACGTACATACACCAAGGTTGCAAAAAAGGGTGAAGTCTTTAATGTGTGTATTAATGGAGGAATGTTGGAGGGGGGTTCTTGAGATTGTAAAAATGGCACCTGTGGCCCATCTGGATTATGAATGGTCTTCTCTTCTCCTCCAGTTCAGAGAGCACCCGGTCCTACCGGAGGATCAGCGGTGGCTCTGTGGGCAAGTCTGGGGCGCCGCTTTCTCCACAGACGTCCAGTTGTCCAGAAGACTTGCTGCACAGCAAGGCTCCACCCCTGGTGCAGAACCTTCCACCAGTGCCAATGCCCAGAAGGTTTGCTCCGGTGAGTTTGGGGAAATGATGGATGATGGTCTCATACTGCTACATTTTCACCCCAATGATTTCAAAATAAAAACTGGAAATGTCATTAGGATCTGCGCTTTTCTTAATACAGCCATGCTTTTTGCAGTCACAAATATGTACATTCACAGGGCGCTTCCAGACAGCAACAAAATGCAGGACAAATAAGCAGGGCAAAAAATTGTGGGACTTGACAGCAAGTCCAAACACGGAACTGTCAGTGCCAGTAAATTCTCGCCCAACATCCCAACACCTTCATTTGTAGCTCATTTTAGAAATCCACAAGAATGGATAGGGGACATCCAGCAGAAGTTTCCTTTTTAAAAAAAAATTGACTCTCCGAGATGCGCTGGACCTTATATGCACTGATTCAGTTATCTAAATGTGTACACAAGCACATTATCTATCCCCACTCTCTTTCATAAATATGAGAATAAAGGATTGCTTGCAGAGAGAGAGTTCTCATGGGGATTGCTTTCTAATTGTGCTTCCATTTGGCCACCTGTGAGTCCATGTCTCCATTTGTTTACAGCCTATATCAGCTGTTTTGGGATTTTAAAATGTGCACTTGTGCTGGAGCAGTCCACACTAGCGTATCGCAACAAAGTAATGTGTTTTCCTTGGCTGCGAGGATATACAGTCGTGTGAGTTAAGAGTAATATATGGCATGTGTTCTGCATCTCAAAAACTAAAGCTGATCGGATTTTTTGAAATCTGCAGGGAAAATATACCTAGAAAAGGGGCTAACATTTGAGACACCTAATGTGTGTTGGCCAATGTAAATCGTTGGATCTAAATTAACATTCTGTTACCTTTTCCTGTGCCGTAGAAAAACTAGGATCTCACAAAAGAGAACTACACTATCTTGCTGTGAATCCAAACAAGTCTGACCTGAAATTTTGCCCTTTGTCTCTTCGGAATTGTGATCAGGGAGATATCCTTCCTAATACATTTGTTTTACATTTGTTGTGGCCTGTCTTTCACTTAACTGTTTTGTCTAAGATAGCTGCATGCTGCTGGCGTGCAAATTCCCCATGCCTGGGTCAGCTGTCATACCCCTTTCTGGCCCCTTATACACTTCCATATATAATCCAGATTATCTGCTTTGAACTGGATTATATGGCAGTGTAGGCTCATATAATCCAGGTCAAAGCGGTTAATGTGGATCATCTGCTTTGATAATCTGGATTATATGGCAGTGTAGAAAGGGCGTCTGTTTAACCAAAAAAAGAAACAAGGAAAAGGAAGCACTGTAGTTTCCATTGCCCTGATATCGACTGTTTGGGCTTTTGCAGGCCAAAGGACGGCCAAAGAGAGTCATGGCTTTGACTGACTGCAGAGGAGACAGAGCCCGGGAGTTGACTTTTTCTAAGGGAGAGGTGATTGTGGTGACGCGAGAAGAAGATGAGCAAACTTGGGTGAGTGTTACCTCTTCTTCATCAGATAATGTAAAAAGGAGCAGAATTTAGTTTCCATCTGGGAAGGGAAGGATGGTGGGGTGTCCAGCCACCCCAAAAATCTTTAGCATTTTTTATCTTTCCATTCAGGCCTGGATTCTGTCTTTACATTCCGCTTTCTGAAATTGTATGCCTCTGTCTGTCTCTGAATGAATGTCAAGAGCTATTTCAAGGAAACTTGGGATAGTAATATGATAGCTCTGTGATCAGGTTTTCTAATTGTCTAATGCTGTTTCTGTTAGATAGGAACACTTCAGCATTGTATGTATCTGAAAATACAGTTCTGATGGACATGTGATAACACGTGGGGAATGACTGAGAAAATCATGATGAAATACCTAAGGGGCAGGCAGGAATCATGTTAAGCAGACGAACCCAGAAGGTGCTCACCAATGCTTCCTCTTCATCCTGGAAAGAAGTGACGAGCGGAGTGCCATCAGCAGGGTTCCGTCCTGGGCCCGGTCCTGTTCAACATCTTTATTAATGACTTAGATGAAGGGCTAGAAGGCAGGATCATCAAGTTTGCAGACAACACCAAATTGGGAGGGATAGCCAATACTCCAGAGGACAGGAGCAGGATTCAAAACGATCTTGACAGATTAGAGAGATGGGCCAAAACTAACAAAATGAAGTTCAACAGGGACAAATGCAAGATACTCCACTTTGGCAGAAAAAATGAAATGCAAAGATACGGAATGGGGGACAATGCCTGGCTCGAAGGCAGTACGTGTGAAAAAGATCTTGGGGTCCTTGTGGACAGCAAGTTAAACATGAGCCAACAATATGATGCGGCGGCAAAAAAAGCCAATGGGATTTTGGCCTGCATCAATAGGAGCATAGTGTCTAGATCCAGGGAAGTCATGCTACCCCTCTATTCTGCCTTGCTTAGACCACACCTGGAATATTGTGCCCAACTCTGGGCACCACAATTGAAGAGAGGTATTGACAAGCTGGAATGTGTCCAGATGAGGGCGATCAAGGGTCTGGAGAACAAGCCCTATGAGGAGCGGCTTAAAGAGCTGGGCATGTTTAGCCTGAAGAAGAGAAGGCTGAGAGGAGACATGATAGCCATGTATAAAAATGTGAGAGGAAGTAATAGGGAGGAGGAAGCAAACTTGTTTTCTGCTGCCATGGAGACTAGGACGCGGAACAATGGCTTCAAACTTCAAGAAAGGAGATTCCATCTGAACATGAGGAAGAACTTCCTGACTGTGAGAGCCGTTCAGCAGTGGAAATCTCTGTCCTGAAGTGTGGTGGAGGTTCCTTCTTTGGAAGCTTTTAAACAGAGGCTGGATGGCCATCTGTCAGGGGTGCTTTGAATGCAATTTTCCTGCTTCTTGGCAGTGGGTTGGACTGGATGGCCCATGAGGTCTCTTCCAACTCTATGATTCTATGTGAGGTTTATGACAAGGGGTTGCATCAGTCATTTGTCCCTTACTGATGACAAGTCAGCAGGTGGTTATAAAAAGGAGAGGAAATGCTCAATCTCTCTCTTTCCTGTCTGAATCTCATCGTGAATATCTCTCTGTCTCTGAGAATTGTTTGCAAGTACAAATCTGATTGTTGATCTGCGTATCCTGATTGTACAGCTCTAAATAGTGCAACGGTGAAGATTTATTTATTTACAGTATTTATATTCCGCCCTTCTTACTCCAAAGGGAACTCAGGGTGGATCACAGAACACATATATGGCAAACATTGAATGCCATTGTACACTGACAGAACAGACAACAGTACAGATAGAGGTATATAGGCTTTCCCCCCATCTTTGGCATCTTGGAGGTTGTGCTCAATTCCAGGGGGGGGGGCTGTTGCTCCATCCTCCATGCCGAAAAGCCCTGTTCGCAGACAGTATTTTCAGGTATTTATTTCCTGCAGGTATTTCCTTATGGTTCCATTAAAATACCTCATTGATTAGGCAGTACCTATTTATATACTCACAGCTGTTTTCGATCTGCTAGGTGGGCAGTGAGCTGGGCTGAAGGTGAAGCGCTCACCCTTGAACTGGGCTTTGAACTGCCAACCTTTCGATTGGCAAGATTTAGTGCAGCTGGTGGTTAACTTGCTGTGCTAAAGCCTGTGCTAAATATTAAAGCCTCCTGATATTTTTTGGATGAAAAACTAAATCTTTGAGTTTACTAAAATGTGTGGACAAGGTCAGATGTTGCAGTTGTACTCTGCTGACAAGCTGATTAACTGACTCAAATGCCTTTGCTGTGAATGGATTCTGCTAAGTTTTGCTTGCCTCTGTGGCACTTGCTTCTCCAGTGTGCAGTGTTTCCAGGGAGGTCACGACTGGAAAACTATACAGTTGTTCCAGGGGAGCATTCGCACAGTTAAAGCTTGGGAAGTCTGATGGCCACGGTAGTCCACGCTCTTGTTACATCCTGTATAGACTACTGCAACACTCTCTACATGGGGTTGCCTTTGAAGACTGTCCGGAAGCTTCAACTGGTCCAACGGACAGCAGCCAGATTGCTAACTGGAGCGGCTCTCAGGGAGCATACAACTCCCTTGTTGCGCCAGCTCCACTGGCTGCGACTTCGCTACTGGGCACAATTCAAAGTGCTGGCTTTCGCTTATAAAGCCCTAAACGGTTCTGGCCCAACTTACCTGTCCGAACGAACCTCCCCTTATGAACCTATGAGGACTTTAAGATCATCTGGAGAAGCCCTGCTCTCGGTCCTGCCATCATCACAAGTACGGTTGGCGGGAACAACAGACAGGGCCTTCTCAGTGGTGGCCCCTCTGCTATGGAATGCCCTTCCTAGGGAGATCAGATCGGCTTCCTCACTCCTATCATTCCGAAAGAACCTTACGACATGGCTTTTTGAGCAGGCATTTGAAAATACGGAGTAACGGGTATAATAACGGAATAACTATATGGCGGAACTGGACATTGTTTTAACGAAATTCTAAATTCTGCTCCTCTTTACATTTAAATGAATATCAATTGAAATATGTTTTATTATAATGTTTGATTTTATTGTTGCTGATGTTTTTATATTGTATATTGTAATTGTGTCCTTGGTGACATTGAACTCTTGCTTTGTAAACTGCCTCAAGTCGCCAGAAGGCTGAGAGGGGCGGTATAGAAATGTACTAAATAAATAAATAAATAAATATACATCACTTTGCAAACCTATCCCGCAATGGTTTCACTGTGCTATTTTTTTCATCTTAGCACTGTGGGAATCCAAGAAGTATCACAGTAGTCTGGCATCTCTCTGACCTACTAGAATAAAATGGGTAGAAGACATAGGTAGCCTTTCATTCCATTATTTGCTTGTGATTGGAGCAAATAATGAATGTATGATCCTGCTAGTGGTGGGCAGGGGAACCTCTAACTCCATCTTACTTCTTTCCTTCTCTTTTTCCAAAAGAGTATGAAAGAACAGAAGAATGGAGCTGATGCCCTATGCAACTACGAACCCAGCAGGGATGCTTAGTTCTTCCTCTAGCTCAGTGGTTCTCAACCTGGGGTCCCCAGATGTTTTTGGCCTACAACTCCCAGAAATCCCAGCCAGTTTACCAGCTGTTAGGATTTCTGGGAGTTGAAGGCCAAAAACATCTGGGGACCCCAGGTTGAGAACCACTGCTCTAGCTCTTTTGCTATGAGAACAAATTGGTATAAGGATCTAAATCAGTTCTGGGCAAACTTGAGCCCTCCAGGTGTTTTGGACTTCAACTCCCACAATTTCTAACAGCCTACTGGCTGTTTGCCCTTGCCTGATCTAAATAGTGTTCTTTCCATAAAGCTTTGCCACCATGTGGTCCTCCAGGTGGAGTTAAATTGTAAATTCTGTGTCACTGCTGGCTATACTGGTTATGATTTCTAAGAGATACATCCGCACAACATCTGGACGGTTCTGGCCCATCCTTCTTGTCTGAACACATCTGCCTCTACGTCCCACCTCGTAATTTAAGATCATCCAGGGACGCCCTGCTCTCACTCCCGCCAACATTGCAAATGTGCCTGGCGGAGATGAGAGATAAGGCCTTTTCGGCTGTGGCCCCCCGCCTGTGGAACGTGCTTCCAAATGAGATAAGATTGGCTTTATCCCTCCTGGTTTTCAGGAAGAAATTGAAATCGTGGTTTTGGGCTTTTGGACAGCAGACATAATAATAATAAACCTTTATTTATACCCCGCTACCATCTCCCGCAGGACTTGGTGCGGCTTCCAAGAGGCTGAGCCCAAAATACATCAGAACAAAAACACAACCACAACAATACAATACAACAATAAATAACTCATAGCAAAGCAAAAACAATAACAAAATATCACGACGCAATTTAAAAACCTGGCAGGGCCAAATGTAATTATTATTTTTTTAAAAAAATGATGGGCATGTCCAGGTGAAAAAAGATGGATATTTTGGGAGTAAGTAGGTGTGCAAACAATTCTAACTCTCTCATAAAGTGCATTTGGGACATATTGCTTGGGATTCCTTAATCTGGGAAGGCACACTGGAACATCCATGTTTTCAAGCTCCTTCTGAAGACTATATGTAGCAGCATTGAATTGCTGCCAAAATGTATGCCGTCCTGAATCCCCCTTCAGAGGTAGAGAAGAGGTGGGGTCAAAATACTGGAAATGAATAAATAAACAAATCTGTATAGGCACGTGTTTTTTATCCAGCCTACTGCTTATAATTTTTCTTTCACCTTGTTGCTCTTTTTTGTCTTTCCAGATCGGCTTCATTGAAGGTGATGGCACAAGAACAGGTTCTTTTCCCTCCAGCTTTGTCCATCCTTTGCAGGACTGATGAAGGGACCTCAAATATATCTATTCTTCAGCTGAAGAGATGAATCATAGAATCCTAGAGTTGGAAGAGACCACACCTGCCATCCAGTCTAACCCCCTTCTGCCATGCAGGAAAAGCACAATTAAAGTACCCCTGACAGATGGCCATTCAGCCTCTGCCTAAAAGTCTCCAAGGAAGGAGCTCCGAGGCAGAGAGTTTCGCTGTTGAACAGTTCTTACAGTCAGCAAGTTCTTCCTAATATTCAATGCAATCTCCTTTCCTGGAATTTGAACCCATGGCTCCATTGAGTCCTAGTACAGGGCAGCAGAAAACAAGCCTGCACCCTCTTCCTTAGGACATCCTTCCAGATAATTTATACATGGCTCTCGTGTCTCCTCTCAACTTTCTCTTCTGCAGGCTAAACATGCCCAGCTCTTTACACCACTCCTCAGAGGGATTATTAATGGTCTTCAGACTTTGAACCAGTCCTGATCTGATTTCTGAATGTACAAACACTAGCACACAGTTTTGCTAGATTTCCTCTTGAGCCTGTTAGCCATCAAATGTCATCTGATGAATCAGCTCAATTATGATGTCTCTATGATGAATGCACATGGGAGATTTTTGACTTTCAGTACTCTTTCTGATGGACCAAGAAGGATCATGGATGATCGCAAGGATGGAATGTTCATCTCTGTCATAGGAGTAGACTTGCTTTGATCTCTGCTGTTCTCATTTATGTCGTTTGCAAAAGAGCAGAATGGACTCTTTTCCAGCAAGAAGCACATACGTCACATCATGCGTCAGACACCTGGCTCAAACGGTGGTTGTATTCTGGCAACTACAGAATGCATCTGGGTCCCTAACGTGTGATTTGATTTCAGGCAATGTATTGTCGAAGGCTTTCATGGCTGGAATCACTGGGTTGTTGTAGGTTTTTCCGGGCTATATGGCCATGTTCTAGAGGCATTTTCTCCTGACGTTTCGCCTTTTCCCACCCTGGTCATTCCACAGATATATAAACCCTTTTTTCCTAGTTCCAACAGACCTCACTACCTCTGAGGATGCTTGCCATAGATGCAGGCGAAACGTCAGGAGAGAATGCCTCTCGAACATGGCCATATAGCCCGGAAAAACCGACAACAACCCAGTGATTTCAGGCAACTTCAGTTTGCATTATGGCGATAACATCCATAAGGAATGGGTCTGCTTTAGGAAAAATAAATAAATTGGGCAGGAATACGTGGGAAGCTTTGACATAGTTTCTCAACAGAGCAGAATGACTATATATCCTCTTTGAACCCATTTTCTTTATTGTTATTCACCCAGGGCAGAGCAAAAGGTCTTCCCTTCAAGGAACCCTATCTTCCTCTGTTCATTCCAATGTAAATCTTCATACCTACTATGTAATGCCTCTAAAATGCAGAACTTTCTGGGAATTTTCTGTTGGTCTCTTTAGACCAGGCATGGACCAACTTTGGCCCTCCCTCCGGGTATTTTGGACTCCAACTCCCACAATTCCTAACAGCCTACAGCTCACTTTCCCAGTTTGCCATTGATGCCTTTGCCATGAGCAGTTATCTCCCTTTCGTGTTCTCTGTTGTTGCTGACTCTATTTCAAACCTTGACTCTGCAAAATGCAAATCGTATGCACGTTTGAAATGGTCATCACAAATCGAGGCCACTTTTAAGGCCCCTCGTTACTTCCCCTTTGTTTAGACTTGGTTGTCCAAATATGTTGCTGTTGCTTTAGTTGCATGGAAATTCACACCCATTACCTATTTATGTCTTTCAAATGTACAACTCCTTATGCCATTTTCCCAATACGGTATGCACACTTTGTCATTGATCGAGCCATGTTCGTGTGATTTAGAGCTGTACTTTTTCAACTGTGCGTATGCAGTTTTAACTGCTGAGAGTTTTTTTTAAAAAAGTGTGAATGGTTTCATGTACACAGAGCACACTGTGGACTTTGGGGAAAATGTTATGTTTTGGAGGCAGCGTTTGTTTTGTCTTGCATTTGTGCTTGAGGAAGTACAAAATCAGTCCTTTTGCCCAAAATCAATTTTTAACAGTAACTTCAGTTGGTTGATCTGATAGAGTAATTGATTTAAACATTTTCAAAAACTGCCCTAAACTAACTCTAGATTTTATAAATACCTTTTTAAAAGCTTTCGTTTTAATATACACACTTAAACTGCATGCAGGTGGCAGGCACTCCCTCCTGTGTGAGAGAGGAGAACAATCTAAGGCCTTTTCTACACTGCTATATAATCCAGATTATCAAATCAGATAATCCACACCATGTTTGTTATGCATAACTTTTCAATAACTTAAAAACATAGGTTCTCTTTGTTGCAATTTTCTAGTAAGAGAAAGGATATCAGAACTTTCACAGAACAACATTTAGACATACAGATATACAGATTCTATGTAACTACATTGAATCCACAATCTACTTTGTGATATGGCCTGAGGGATAATCAATAAGGGTTGTTGTAGGTTTTTTCGGGCTATATGGCCATGTTCTGGAGGCAATTTTTCTCCTGACGTTTCGCCTGCATCTATGGCAAGCATCCTCAGAGGTAGTGAGGTCTGTTGGAAGTAGGAAAAATGTGTTTATATATCTGTGGAATGACCAGGGTGAGACAAAGGACTCTTGTCTGCTGGAGCTAGGTGTGAATGTTTCAACTGACCACCTTGATTAGCATTTGATGGCCTGGCAGTGCCTGGGGCAAACTTTTGTTGAGAGGTGATTAGATGTCCCAGATTGTTTCCTCTCTGTTGTTTTGCTGTTGTAATTTTAGAGTTTTTTAATACTGGTAGCCAGATTTTGTTCATTTTCATGGTTTCCTCCTTTCTGTTGAAATTGTCCACATGCTTGTGGATTTCAATGGCTTCTCTGTGTAGTCTGACATGGTGGTTGTGAGAGTGGTCCAGCATTTTTGTGTTCTCAAATAAAATGCTGTGTCCAGGTTGGTTCATCAGGTGCTCTGCTATGGCTGACTTCTCTGGTTGAAGTAGTCTGCAGTGCCTTTCATGTTCCTTGATTCGTGTTTGGGCAAAGCTGTGTTTGGTGGTCCCTATGTAGACTTGTCCACAGCTGCATGGTATACGGTAGACTCCTGCAGAAGTGAGAGGATCCCTCTTGTCCTTTGCTGAACGTAGCATTTGTTGGATTTTCTTGGTGGGTCTGTAGATTGTTTGTATGTTGTGTTTCCTCATCAGCTTCCCTATGCAGTCAGTGGTTCCCTTGATGTATGGCAAGGACACTTTTCCTCTGGGTGGATCTTTGCTTTGACTCTCGTGGCTTGTTCTTGGTCTTGCAGCTCTTCTGATGTCTGATGTGGAGTATCCATTGGCCTGTAGAGCCCAGTTGAGGTGGTTCAGTTCATCTTGGAGGAGGTGGGGTTCGCAGATTCTTTTTGCATGGTCTGCCAAGGCTTTAATGGTGCTTCTTTTTTTACTTGGGTGATGGTTGGAGTTTTTATGTAGATAGATATCAATAAAATTACTACTACCACAAACAATCTACAGTTACATCGGCTAACAAACAAAGAAAGGGGAATTACCTTTTTACTCAGCTTTCACATAACATATACACATTATCTTAGCGTCATGCATACATCACCACTCTTCTTCCATCATCCCCTGGAGAAGAACACCTCTTAGGCCAGCCTTCTTCCTTGCAAATCCGCCAACACACAATTCCAAAACTACAAAAACTTTTCCAAAACGCACACCTTCCAACCTGAAAAGGAGGCAGCGACCAGACTTTGCTTTCCATTGCAGATCTGTTGCCCTGCAAATCCATAGAATGATAGAATCCTAGAGTTGGAAGAGACCTTGTGGGCCATCCAGTCCAACCCCATTCTGCCAAGAAGCAGGAAAATCACCTTCAAAGCACCCCCGACAGATGGTCATCCAGCCTCTGTTTCAAAGCTTCCAAAGAAGGAGCCTCCACCACACTCTGGGGCAGAAAGAGAGAGAGAGTTCCACTGCTGAATAGCTCTCACAGTGAGGCAGTTCTTCCTAATGTTCAGGTGGAATCTCCTTTGTTGTAGTTTGAAGCCACTGTTCCATTGGGTCCTAGTCTCCAGGGCAGCAGAAAATAAGCTTCCTCCCTCCTCTCTTTGACTTCCTCTCACCTCTTGATTCATGGCCCTCATCCTGTTTCCTCTCAGCCTTCTCTTCTGCAGGCTAAACATGCCCAGCTCTTTCAGCTGCTCCTCATAGGGCTTGTTCTTCAGACCTGTGATCCTTTGAGTCATCCTCTGGACACATTCCAGTTTAGAGTCAACATCTCCCTTTAATTGCAGTGTCCAGAACTGGACACAGTATTCCAGGTGTGATCTGACCAAGCAGAACAGAGTTGTAGCATGACTTCCCTGGATCTAATAATAATAATAATAATAATAATAATAATAATAATAATAATAATAAACTTTATTTGTACCCCGCTACCATCTCCCCAAGGGACTCGGTGCGGCTTACATGAGGCCAAGCCCACAGTATATCAATAAACGAAGGCGATAACAAATAATCAATACAAAACAATTAAAATAAAGCTCATAAACAAAAAATACACAATAAACAATAACATACAAGCATTTGAAAACGTATGGCTGGGCCAAATGTAATAATTAAAATTTAAAATAATGCTGGGCATGAACAAGGTAGGGTAAACTAGGATAGGGTTTTCAAAGAAAGATGAGGGTGCGCAGACAATCCTAAATCAATATTAAAGTGCATTTGAGGACATATTGCTAAGAGTTTTCTTTATTCTGGGAAGGCACATCTAGACACTATATTCATATTCAGAATTTTTCAGAACAACATTTAGACATACAGATTCTATATGTCTGGACCCACAAACAATCTACAGTTACATTGGCTAACAAACAAAGGGGAATTATCTTTTTACTTAGCCTTCACATTACATATACACATTCACTCAGCATCATGCATATATCACCACTCTTCTTCCGTCATCTCCTGGCAAAGAATGCCTCTTAGGCCAGACTGTTTTCTTGCAAATCTGCCAATGCACAGTTCCAAAACTTCCAAAATTTCTAAAAACTTTTCTGAAACATGACCTTTCCAACCTGAGAAGGAGGCAGAGACCAGGTTCTGCTTTCCATTGCAGATCTGCCGCCCTGCAAATACATAATGGCTCCAAAAATCGCACTCCTTTCTCTTCCCTTGTTGTCAGAGTAGGATTGTCCTCCAAATGTGGTGTCCTGGCGGTGGGTACGTAGGTGACAGTGGAGCCCTATTCTTGACCCACATGTTCTCCCGCAGTGAGGGCATTGGTTTCCAGGTGGAAGGCGGTCCCGGTCAGGGTTGGCTTGATGTGCCTTCCTCTTGGCAAGTTTCTGTCTTTCACCCTCCATTCATGCCTCTTCAAATTCTTCAGCACTGCTGGTCACAGCTGACCTCCAGTTAGAGCACTCAAGGACTTCCCAGTTCTCGGTGTCTATGCCACAGTTTTAAAGTTGGCTTTAAGCCCATCTTTAAATCTCTTTTCCTGTCCTCCAACATTCCATTTTCCATTCTTGAGTTCAGAGTAGAGTAACTGCTTTGGGAGATGGTAATCGGGCATTTGGACAACGTGGCCAGTCCAGCGGAGTTGATGGCGGAGGACCATCACTTTAGTGCTGGTGGTCTTTGCTTCTTCCAGCATGCTGACATTTGTCCGCGTGTCTTCCCAAGAGATTTGCAGGATTTTTCGGAGGCAGAGCTGATGGAATCATTCCAAGAGTTGCATGTGATGCCTGTAGATAGTCCATGTTTTGCAGGGTTGGGTGGACAATAGCTTTATAAACAAGCACCTTGGCCCCCCTACGGATATCTCGGTCCTCAAAAACTCTGTGCTTCATTCAGAAAAATGCTGTACTCACAGAACTCAGGTGGTGTTGTATTTCAGTGTCAATGTTGACTTTTATGGAGAGTTTGCTGCCAAGGTAGTGGAAATGGTCCACATTTTCTAATGTTACACCATTAAGCTGTATTTCTGGCATTGCAGACGGATTGGCTGGTGCCTGCTGGAAGAGCGCTTTGTTTTTTCTGGATGTTCAATGACAGGTTGAGCTTCTCATATGCTTCTGTGAAGGTGTTTGGAGTGGCTTGTAGGTCTTCTTCTGAAAGCGCAAAGACAACATTGTCATCAGCATATTGGAGTTCTATAACAGATGCTGTTGTAACCTTGGTTTTGGCTTTCAGTCTGCTGAGGTTAAATAACTTGCCATCTGTAGTTTCTTTGCAGGCTGTGATGATGGAGGTCTTCAGTTTGTTTCAATGTTCCTCAATATTTTCAGGGTGTTTTATGGGTAGATAATCCTTGAGTGTTGTTTGGAGAAGAGCTCGTTTGGAGGGCTGCTGAAGGTGACAGCTGTCTGTCACCTTGCAAATACACCATCTCTCTCCTTCCCAAGGAGAAGAGCGGCAGCTAGGCCAGACTCCTTCTGTCTGCCGCAATTTTGGATTGTAATAAGGTCTCTTATATGGCAATATTTCTTGCTGATGTTGTTCCAAAGTTGTAAATTAATGATAGATGTTTAAACATCCTGGCTTCATCTCAGTTTCCTGGCAGATGTTGAGTCTTCTTAATTGGTGTTGGTAAACGTAAGGAGTCTTGTGTTGACTTCCTTCTTAAAGCAAGGAACCTTGTAAACATTTCCTCAACTTAAAGAACCATTGTCTCTGATAATGTAAACACATTGTTTTTCCCCAAAAGTTCAACAGTTAATCACTGTCACAGTTCATCAGTGTCAGTAGTTTGGCAACTTTTAATTACAGTTCCTGAATGTAGTTGTTTTCCAGGCCTCGATATTTTAAAATTGTATTGTCGAAGGCTTTCATGGCCGGAATCACTGGGTTATTGTAGGTTTTTTCGGGCTATATGGCCATGTTCTAGAGGCATTCTCTCCTGACGTTTTGCCTGCATCTATGGCAAGCATCCTCAGAGATAGTGAGGACTGAAGACACAATTTTAAAATTGTGTCTTCAGTCCAATTAGGCCCCATTAATACACCTTGCATACAATTCCATTGAAACCATTACATCATATTCCATGACAAGTTCAAAGCAGATAATCTGGGTTTTATACAGCAGCGTAGAAGGGGCCTAAGATTGTTTGGCTATCAGAAAACACCACTTAAGGACAAAATACTACTTTTCTTTAAAATATATATAGTTCCCTACCCTTCAGTTCATAATGCTGTTGTGATGTCACAGATATCTGAATTGCAGCAGCAGAAGTACATCAAACAATTAATTTTTACTTGAACATGTTTTTCTATTAGCAGGACAAAACCTGTATTTATGGCAGGGATGGAAAACATGCGGCCTTCTGGATGTTGGTGGCCAGAAACATCCATCACCTCTCACCAGTACATGAGGAGGGGATGGAAGCTGCTATCTGCCCGCATTGATCTATATACCACTTTTCAGAGCTCCCTTTAAAGAAATGCTGCTTCTTTGTAGACACGGTGTTAATGCTGCAGAGAATGCCCCTTTAGCCCTCTCCAGTCTGGTTCGAGACTGGGTTTCTTTTATTCTTTCATGAGATAAAAATCGTATGCTTCTGTAGACACACACATAAATGTGCTAAAAGGTAAAGGTAAAGGTAGTCCCCTGACATTAAGTCCAGTCATGTCTGACTCTGGGGTGTGGTGCTCATCTCCATTTCTAAGCCGAAGAGCCAGTGTTGTCCGTAGACACCTCCAAGGTCATGTGGCCGGCATGACTGCATGGAGCGCTGTTACCTTCCCGCCGGAGCGGTACCTATTGATCTACTCACATTTGCATGTTTTCGAACTGCTAGGTTGGCAGAAGCTAGGGCTGACAGCGGAAGCTCACGCCGCTCCCCGGAAT